CCGTTGCCATAGTACCACCCTCTAGGCTCTTTCCCCGCCGTTTGTTTGATCGCCGCAATCGCCTTCTTCGCAAAGGACTTTTCTTCCTCCACACTCCAGGCACTCCGGTCGATCCAGCGCCATCCGTGGCTGGCAGCTTCGTGGCCCTTCTGTTGCGCCCACTGCCCAACGAGAGGGTTGAGAAGCATCGCCTGCCCCACAGCGTAGAGGGTGCACTTCACCCCGACCTCATCCAGTAAACGCAGGACGCGCCATACACCGGCCCTCGGTCCGTACTCATACATACTCTCCATGTTGACGTCCCTCTGTCCGTCCTCGAACGGGCGTACATTGGGTCCCAGCTCGCTCCCAAGCACTTCGGTACACGCGTCCCCGTTGAGGGGCGTCGACTCGGAGCCTTCTTCGTAGTTGAGCACGATAGATATTGCGATCTTGGCGTTGTTAGGCCATTTGGGGTTGGGAGTCCGTGGCCCGTAGCCTATGAGGTCGCGAGGGGGGTAGTCTGTCGAGTTCCTGGTCTGCTTCAGTCCTGTACGCCGTCACGACATGTCGACTTACTTGTTCTCCATATTCCTTTTGACAACGATGGTCGTTGAATATCAAGCCAGCGACCCACCCATTGTCCATTGTAATCGCTGTATTTCTTCGAATTCTTTACTTAAATTAGATATCGGGAATAATACGCATTTTATTAATGGAATGGACCCTTGCAAGTGGCTGTGTATTAAATTATTTTATCAAGTTTGACATTTACGTTTTGATTGTAACCCTGACTCGACGACTTGATCAACACAGCACTGACAATTACCACTTCAACTGCAAGAAAAGGGCCAAAGTGGCATATATACTTACTTTTACTCGTCGATCTTTCGCTCTCAGTACATACCATCATCGACCAATCAATCACACTTTTCGTAGAATGGCAGCAACAACATCCAACGGCGTGCAATCAGCGTACTCTGCATACCCCGCTATCCCAGGTGTTGAGCCACAAATCTGCGCACTCGACGCGTTCCGTCTCGCCGTCGCATCCAAGCTCGCAGCTCCGCTCGGCATTCCTATTGAAAAAGCCTACGAGGGCATCGACATCGGCAAGAAAGAGGCAGACTTCACCGTCGCCATCCCCAGGTTCCGCCTCAGTGGCAAGCCAGATGAGTGGGCAAAGAAGGTCGTCGACGCCTTCCAGCCGGACGATATGGTTGAGAGCGCGGTGCAGGATAAGGCCTTCGTCTCGTTTATGATGCGGACTCCGACGCTGGTGCGGAAAGTGCTGGACCAGATTAACGACCTTACCTATCACACGCCGAGCAAGAAGGCGGAGTATGGGTGCAACCATAGTGGAAAGGGGAAGAAGGTCATCATCGGTGCGTTCCACCGCATCTTCTATATGTTTGCTCATCCTCCGCAGAATACTCCTCTCCAAACATCGCGAAAGAGTTCCATGCTGGTCATCTGCGGTCAACCATCATTGGCGCATTCCTGTCCAATGTCCACCGAGCTACGGGATGGGACGTCACGACGATCAACTACCTCGGCGACTGGGGCAAGCAGTTCGGTATGGTCGCGGTCGGATTCGACCGGTACGGCTCAGAAGAGGCGTTGAAGACGGACGCGATCCACCATCTGTACGACGTGTACGTCAAGATCAACCGGGATGGAGAGAAGGAAGGTGAAGAAGGCAAGGCAGTGCACGATGCTGCGCGGGAGTTCTTCAAGCGCATGGAAGACGGCGACGAGGCTGCTGTCAAGCAATGGAAGCGGTTCCGCGACTTCTCGCTGGAGAGGTATAAGCAGAGCTACGAGCGGCTCAATATCGAGTTTGACGTCTATGGAGGCGAGAGCACCGTCAGCCAGAAGGCGATGCAAGACGCGGTGGAGAAGATGCAGACTATGGGGCTCGTGGAGACTGGAGAGGACGGAGCGAAGCTTGTTAAACTGGACAAGTGGAAGCTGGGAAGCACGATATTGCAGAAGAAGGGTGAGTGCGATGGCATTGTTTTGCTATTGCTCATAGGGTGTAGATGGCACTTCACTCTACATCACACGGGATATTGCGGGTGCCATCGAACGGTACGACAAGTACCATTTCGACAAGATGATCTATGTCGTCGCCTCGCAGCAAGATCTTCATTTAGCGCAATTCTTCAAGGTACTCGACCTCATGGGCCTACCCTGGGCCAAGACGCTTGAGCACGTCAACTTTGGCATGGTCGCTGGCATGTCCTCCCGGAAAGGCACCGCCGTCTCACTAGATCATATCCTCAACGAGGCCGGCGAGGTCATGCACGAGCAGATGAGGAAGAACGAGGCCAAGTATGCGAATGTCGAGAATCCCGAAAAGACAGCGGACGAGATTGGCATGAGCGCAGTCAAGATCCAGGACATGGCGGCGAAGCGGTGAGTTCTCCCCGCCGCTATAGAGACCATGCTCATCGGGTGTAGGATCAACAACTACACGTTTAACTGGTCGCGGATGCTCTCCTTCGAGGGCGACACTGGCCCTTACCTGCAGTACGCCCATGCCCGGCTCTGCTCTGTCCAGCGGCGGGCGGCCGACGCTGGGCTCACGATCCCCACCGATGTCAGCACGGTGAAAACGGAGCTGCTGGTCGAAGCCGGCGCGCGGGCGATCGTTGCTCTCCTCGCGGCGTACCCCGACGTCGTGCGGACTGCGCTCAAGACGTATGAACCGTCGGGCGTGGTGACTTACCTGTTCAAGCTGAGCCATGCGATTTCCGGAGCATGGGAGACGCTTGTCGTCCTAGGCCAGGAGAAGGAGCTGGCTTTGGCTCGGCTGTGGTTGTTCGTCTGCGCGAGGGACGTACTGGGTACCGGGTTGAGGCTGCTTAGCTTGCGGCCGCTGGAGAAGATGTAGATCTCGACAATTAAGAGGCAAGATTAGAGATTGTGCCACTAGCCTTACTCATGTGCCTGTCCACATACTCGCCACAGGGCATGTTATAATATTAACTATCTGAGAAGAAGTGGTAATGATGTCCTACAGGAGCTCACAGCGCTAACCGGTACTCGTACTCGCCCTGTGTGTTCTGGGCGAGCCAGAGCGCGACAGCGGAGAACATGATACAAACGTTCTGGGCTACGTTCGCCACGCCGTAGTACTCGTACTTATCGGGGTAGTCGGGGATGATATACTTCAGCACAAGGATTGTCTACCGTGCTAGGTTAACGAAGAGCGTGATGAAGTTAGAGGGAAGGAGCACGCACCACGCTGCCTGCGAGACCGCCCGCCATGAGCGCAAAGCCAAGGAACAGATATAGCCTTGCCCGCCATACAACGCCGCCCTCACCCCATCCCCCACCTATCCCTCCTTCACCAAGCAGCCGCTCCCTGTTGATAAGGTTGACGACGAGCATGCCGAGAGTACTGCAGATGCCCGGGATCCAGTCGACGAATGTGACGTGTACGGGGACTTCATCGTATGGTGCATCAGGCGGGGGCTTAGCGTGAGCAGAGAGAATGGCAGCGTCGAAGAAGAGCCATTGGGCCATTGCGAACTGGTCATGGTCAGTGCTTGTAAACGTTATGAAACGGTGAGCGCACGAGAGCACCAGCGGCATACACGCCAATGGCACGCTTGTGCCTCAGGAATGGAGTGATTGGGAATGGGATAACGCACACCCTGCGTGGGTCGTACGCTGATCTGGGAAGTGACATTGTAACGAGTGTTGAGCGGTGGGGAACGTCTGAAAGTGCGAGGTCGTCGTCTGAGGAAGGGCTGTCGACGACGCGGACGTTGAGCTGCGAATGACGACGGCGCATTGCTTCCGTCTTAGGGGTCGAAACTAAAGTAATTCTGATGTTAACAGTGTTCATTTGTTTTTATGCATTTGTTATTCATACACCCAAATACCTTTCCCTAAAGAACAACAAGACCGTCCATAATGATGAGAAATTCTAACCGGATATATGAACGCCAGTCTTGGAAGTAAACTCCTTCGCTTTCATCTCCCTCCATTCACAGCCTTCCTCATAAGGACATCTCCTGTCGCACTTATAAGCCAACTTGTAAGCAGAGAAGCAACATCACATACCAACATCGATTCACGTCCTCAACGTCCACACCAATCGGCTCGCGATCCCCAGTCCAAAGCGCCAGCATCTTGTCAATATGGGCATCGACCTGCGTTTCCGAGTACGAGAATCTGTGACATCCCAGGATCACGGCTTCATCCAGCTTGGACTGCAGCGGGAGTGCGACAGGCCGTGCGATCGGCGTATCCGGCGCTTGCCCTCCTAGGCTCTCTTGCTTAACCATATCGATGATCTGCCGCTCAGACTCGCGGAGCTCCCTTTCCTCGTCCGAATGAACAGCGAATGACCGATCAGTGATCCCGTTAAACGCACCAGGCATAGCGCACGGTGGAGAGGAGAGAAAGATAACATCCTGGGGGACGTCTGTCTCCGTCATGTCCGGAAGCGGCGGAGTGCCACGATCCTCCACCACTGAGGCAAGGGGGGGCGAGGCGGTGGCCGCTGCTCCCCTTGCTCGACGGAACTTTGGTCGTGGCTGCAGGCGGTAAACGACCTCCAGAGTATCGTCCACCTTCTCCACGCCGAGCTGTTCCACCGCTTTAGACCATGCAGACGCCATATCTTTCAAGCAGACCGCAGTTTGCAGCCCCTCGAAGCCAGAATCCTCCACCAGCTCGTGAATGCTCGCGATGAACCAGTCGCCAAATGGCTGGGTTTCGTCAAGTCCAGTAGAGACGAAATAAGACTCGAAATCGAATGCGTTCGGCGGCGGAGCCAGGAGGGAATCAAGTAGCTTCTTGTACATCATCAGCTGGAGACATGCGGATACAGAGGGGGTGCTTTTGGGATCTGGAAGAGTCGGGGATTGTCGTGTTTTCGTGTCGATGAGGCTGAGGATATGCGTAGGCGGTGGTGGGGCGCTCGGCTTGAGTTTTTTAGGGGAGAAAAAAGAGGTGATCGATGGTTGTGTTGAGGGCTTGTCGGGTTCTGACTGCTTTGGTATTGCTGTTCGGCGGATTTCATCCTAGATATCATGAGCTGAGCACATACTCTGTCGGGTAAAGCAGCGCACGATGATCCCCGTAACGTGCTGGTTGTGCAGGTATCCGAAGACCGGAAACTCGCGCTGCAGCGCATCAGATACAGACACGAAAGTGCATACAGCAGGCAGACGAACAGTATATCCAGAATCAAGGATGGTCCTGATACCAGTGGACATGCTGATGAGTCGTAATCCCATGTACTCCTCGCCTGTTTCTGCTTTTACCCTCACTTCAACAGGGTGGATCTCTCTTTCAAGTATTTTGTGTACGTCCTGCATACAATATGAACAAGCGACTTTCAGAGGGAGAACACGCACCTGGCCCTTCTTCATGATCCTATCTCCCGTCTTCTCCCTCTCCTTGTTCACCACGATTTCTCTCCCATTCGGCAGCTCGATCTTATCCGGTCTCAAATCCATAGGCAAATTCCTCTTCCCAAACAGCGAGTACGAGAACTGGTATTCGCACCACAGCGGGTTGGTTAGGTCCGTCACGCTCAGAGCGCGAGACATCCTGAACATAGACAGCAGCGGCAGACCAGACGCCATGCTGATAGGCTTGGACTGTGTTGCTGGAGGGATGGGGACTACCTTAGGTGGAGACGAAGAGAGAGCATCGATCTGTGCGAGATCTGAGGCGGTGAACTGGGGAAACTCGAGGTGGTCGTATTCGTCGTCGGACATGCGCGTTCGACGCGACGAGGACGACCCGGCGGAGAGGTGACTATGCAGTGGTCATCGAGTGATGGCATTATGACTCTTATCATTGGTCGGAGCAACTTTGGGGCATGGGAGACATATATTGGCAAATACTACAAAGTAATTGTTACAGCTATGAAATCATCTTTGAAGCTGCCCCATTCAGTGGTTGCAAAGGTCGGACTCCAGCTATGATGTTCTTCACTTACCACATCAAGCCAAAGTCTTGCTGATGTGGCCACTCAGTTAAAATAACCTGGTGTTTATATGTGCTCTTGTGATAGAAACTGGAACACAATGCTCTTGCTATTAATTACAGAACAGGTTCTCACGTGACCGACATGGTCATTAATGAGTTCTTACATCGCCACTACCACAATGCCTCCTCACCGTGTGGCCATCATCGCGCAGTGATCTGTTCAACAGCATTGCCCGCATGCCCATCACTGTCGTCGCCCACACGAGTATTCCCTAACAGACAGTGGCACTCAGCCATGGTCTTACACTTCAAACCACGCATACCAAAATTCGTCTCTTGGATACCCGGTAAGATCACACAGTGGGAACTATGGAAGCCGGCTATCCGATGTGCAATCGTGGGATGGATATGCTGGGTGCTGCTCCTTGTCATGCCTGTGGAACATGCGATGGGTCAAGCGTCGTTCTTCATTATGGTTGCTGCTATAATAAAGTGAGTACACTCTGTCTATTGCATTCAAGAAGCTGATGGTTCGTGACTAGTCCACCGAGCGACCCCCTCGCTATCTTCCTTGACAAGACTATAGGCATATTTGTCTTCATCGGGTTTGCATGGGTATGGGTGACGATCGCGTATGCCATCGCAGTCCGAGTCCGATCAAATGTAGTGCCTCTAGATGCCCTTCAGGTGCGCAGTATATTGTTGTCTATGTCCTTCGGTTGCTGAAACAAGTGATAGAGAGAGTCAGATCGTTACCCCGGGTTACAGGCAACCAATCCAGAAGCGTTTCTCCAGTTTGCTATCTTCGATGGGGTCTTCCTTGAGACTGCGTCCAGTGCAGTCATGGCTGCCTTCCTAGGTGTCGGTTCGTCCATCGCATTACCTCTCGAATGCCGCTCACACGCTGGCAGGCGTGGCTGTCATGACATACCTGCGATCTAAACTCACCCCCTCCTTCGGCCAGCCAACATCCAGTATCTTCGCGTGCATCGTGATGGACGTCGTGCTCACCTACGGCGCTCTCATACCCTCCTTCGACCCCGTCCTCGCCAACGTTTTCGTCATCCCTATGCTGATGTTCACCGCCGTCGCCATCCTCGGCTCAGTGCTCATCTTTCCCGAAACAGTGCAGGAACAGTATTGCAGGCGATATATCGCCGCCATCAGCCAGATGAAGACTGTCATAGACGAGCAGCCCAAGATGCTGGGCGCGACCCCGGGGACAGACGAGTGGAAGGAATACGACAAGCTGAAATCCCAGCGTGAGGCCTTGGGCGCAGCATATCAAGCACTGGACGTGTCGGGGAGCAACCTGAATCGGGAGATCATATGGGGAAGGTTTAGCCACAACGACCTTCGCGATCTGCAGGACAGCGTGAGAAGACTTGTCATCCGAATTGGTGTGTGTGCTGCGTATATGCGGGACTTTCTAACTGAACGAACTTGTAGGAGGCATGGCGTACTTCCATAGTACTGTCAGCGAGTGGCTGGAGAGGAAGAAACATGCGGAGGAAAGTGCGAATTCACAATTCAGCTCTCGAGCTCCCTCTCGCGCTCCTTCGCCGTCACCTCAGGATTCTGCAGATCAGTTGGGACGTATGCAGGATTCTGCTGCCCCTGGCGCAGCGGAGAAGAAGAACGGTGGACCCGAAAATGGGAAGACGCCCCCTGAACAAAGCGCCAGTCAGTTGAATGTCACGCAGTCCCATCAGAGTAGCACCCCTCTCGACGTTCGTCGTTCTGAAGACCAGACCGGGAATCGGCTAGACATCGCGCACCAAAACCACCGACATAGTCTGAGTCATCTGAATCTTCGCCGACTGCTCACCGAATCTTTGGGCGACTCGTTGCTTTCCCCGTCGGAAACAGTCAGCCTCACCGATACCGGCTCGGAGACGCCTCGAGGGCCCAAGTTGCGAAAGGAGAAAAAGGACGATCATCATTGGTTTCATTGGCATCTAGACTCCCCTGAGCATCCACGCTTGCACGGACCACGACCAGTCGGGGTGTTCGAGAGCATGCGGTATATCACTGTTCATGCGCGTTTTCTCGTTCCGCGCGAGATGGAGTACGTGGAGAAGATGCAGGTCCTCCTTGCAGACGCTGCAGATCCGCTGCTCAACGTGTGTGCAGAAGCACTGGGAAGCATCCAGACTTTCTTCGAAGCTGTCACGCATGATAAATGGTGGAAACTGCAACAGAATACCAATCGAGCAGCACGGGTCAAGGCCGACCTGCAGAAGAAGGACTTCATAAAGCACAAGCTGTTGCGCACGCTCACGGCTTTCAAGACCAAGGATAGGCTTCGCCCAATCGAGGTGTATCGACATCACGCGCTGACACCGGCGACACCTTATCGGGGTCTGTTCTTCGTCAGCATATACTGTTTCCACCTCATCGACTTTGCCCAAGCACTCCTCATCATGCTGGAAGCGGTGTTGGAGGCGGAAGAGAAACGCAAGAAATCCAGATTCTGGTTTCCACCCCTTACGTTCGGTGGTATACTTGGGCGCGGCAGTAGGAGTGACGCGAATGAGCTTGATGACGAAGATCCTGAGAATATTCAAGGCCTTCAGGAGTTCGACGAGGCTGTTGAAGCTCGAGACCCGGACGCGGAGGCTCCGAGCAACCTTTTCTATTATTATGGCGGCAAGGTGCAAAGGGGGATCTCGAACATGTTCAGGCGAGGTGACGCGTTCTTTGCTGCCAAAGCCGGCATCATCACTGTCGTGGTCGCGATTCCACAGTATGTTCAGACGACAGCCTCCTTCTACTACAACAATCGCGGGCTATGGGTCATCATCATGGCCCAACTGACGTTGCAACGCTGGGCAGGCGATACGATCCTCCAGTGGATGTATCGTGTTATCGCGTCATTCTGCGGAGCCGTGGTTGGAGTTACGCTTTGGTACATTGGTTCGGGCTCAAGTGACGGCAACGCCTACGGACTTGCCGCTGTGGGGGCAGTCACGCTGCCCGTGATCTTCTTCCTCCGTATCCACTCGCCGTTCCTGGTGATGTATGTGCTGTTCTGCGTGACGATCTTCCTCGTCATGGGCTATTCGCGACAGGACGGCGTCGGTGGGTTTACGTCCGTCAATATTGGTGTAGGGTGGGAAGGCGGTTGGCGGCGATTCCTCACGGTTGTGATTGGCATCTCGATCGCGGCTATCTTTGCCCTGATTCCGCCGGAAACGTCGAGACATTCTGTGCGGAGAACATTGTCACGAAGTATCGCACAGATGGGCACGATGCATGCAGAACTGCTGTCATATGCAGGGTAAGCAGTGGTCCCATAGCGCTTGTCCATTGCTAATATCCATTGCAGCCGTGCGCATCATGGTCCGGACACTTTGATAGTCGACAGCATCGTTCGGATCAATGCGAAACTGCGGACGTATCTAACTCTCCGAATCGATGCGGCCGAGTATGAACCCACGCTAGAAGGACGCTGGCCAGCGGCGAAGTATCGCAAGCTGCAGGAAACACTTTTGGAGTTATCGGACCTCCTCGGACAGCTGATGACAGTCTATTGGCGGATCGGGCAAGCTCACATCGATAAACGATGGCGAGAAGGACTCGTTTTGCGGACACGTTTCCTCCAGCCTACTTTCATCGGAGATACGATGGCGATCTACTACATCCTTGCTACTGCGCTGAAGACGGGTGCACCTCTGCCCCAGATTCTTCCTACGCCGCTAGTCGACCGCGCGTTCGACAAGAAATATGGCCTGCGTGTCCCACACGCTGGTGACATAGATGCGAGACGTGGCCAAAATGGTACCGATACACCAGGCAGAGAAAGTCCTATACCAGGAACACCCCGCGAGCCCTTTTCAGCATTTCGAGACCCGAACGATCATCCTCTAGCCGACAAGCACGTCCGACTAGAAGAGCCCAGAGCAGAGTCTCCCTCTGTTCGGATGATCGACAAGCAGGACCTCACGTACGAGATGTTGACCGACGAAGGGTACATGACACTCGTGACGGGAGTGCTGACGACGTATGATATGTTGACTAGATTGGATAGACTGGTCATGGTGGTGCGTGAACTTGTTGGAGAGAAGTATCCGATCAAGGGCTTGGATAGAGAGGCATTGTTGAGTGATTATGAGTGATGGAGGATGGAGTTGTAGCAATTATACCTTGTATTTGCACTTGTACAACATGACAAACAACAAATATTCATTGATATTCAGATTATCATTGTAATCAACGCATATTCATTCTCATTGTTCAAAGACGCGTCGACATTGACGCGTCGACGCGTCCCACAGTTGACATCCAACGACCATGTCACTCCTCGCCGTCTCATCCAGACTTGCGCATACAGCGTCCCTCATCACCCAAACCTGCGGTGCGAACACCAAACCACCCGGTCCATTCACTCATTCGTTATTGGGAAACGTACCTATCATCGATATCATTCGAGATGCGGACGAGAGCGAGCGGAAGCTCGTGCGGCTGGAAGGGGACGACATTGGGAGGAGGGAGGCAAGCATCACCGGAGCGGGGAATGCGAAGATTAAGAAGGCTTCTGAGAAAGATGAGCCAGCGAGTGGGGTGAGGCTAGGAGAGGAGAGCGTCGAGGTCCTTGCAGGCGCAGCGCTGGAGCTGGTTGAACAGTACGACAGTATGCCGAGGGCGAAGCAACATATCCTTCAACTTCTCGAACGATCAGCTGCGATTCATGAATCGATTGCGGAATTGCAAGCTGACCTGGCGACTGTGAGTAGAAGAACATGAGGCGAGAAATAACTGACCGTTTGGTTGTTAGAAGCGGCCAGTATCAAGCAGCACCGGTCCTCAGACGGAACAAGCATCCCTCAAAGACATCGAATCCTCTGTTCACGACCTCGAGAGTACGATTGCATCCGTACGTCAGAAGAGGGATGCAGTCCGTGCTCGTGTTCGCGAGTTCAAGCACGCCACGCCCTCCAGGATCTCGGCCTCAGGGGGGACGAAGGCGGACGACGAAGATAATCCATTCTTGGCGAACAACACTCTTGCTCGCTCAATGGGCTTGCCGGCTACCGGTTCCCGAGCTGCGGCGGAGACGAGCGTGAGCAGCGCGAGTACTGCAGAGCGTATCCTGCGACAGGAGACTCCCCTTGCTGTAAGATCTGCTAACGTGCGCCGAGGTATTCTGGGCTTGGAAGAGGAGGACGGTGAAGATGAGACGCTTGGCGAGGCTGGGGTGGACGAAGATAGCTTCGACTTGAAGGAGCAGGATGAGGAACCCGGAAGCCTCTTGGACGAGATGGCCGAGCCGGACATGGACATGCCTGACGAAGATGGAGAAGAGATGGACGAGGTGACCGTCATCCTAAGGCCTTCCCAAAAGCCAGAGATTGGATCACAGCCAGAACGTATTGTGCAAGCGGCAGTTCCACCTCGGGAAGAGGAGAACATCACTCCGTCGATGGAGATTGCATTGGTATGTGGGCTGCACATAGATGAGCAAAACTCTTACTGTTCGATGCAGAATAAGATCTGGTCTACTTCTGCTGGTCAGGTATTGGACGCATCTGTCCAGGAGGGCTCTTCCCTCTCACCAAGGGACACGCTGTACGCCTGTCTATTCTGCTCATTAACATCATGCTCACGCCGGCTCGTAGGGCTCTACTGAATGAACTCCTTACCCCGCCTTCGCCGCCCCAGTCACCTCTCCAACCATCCTCCGTCTCTTCCTTCGCACCAAACCCGAGCAACCCGACGCCAGACACTGTCCTGCTCGCCAAACTTCTAGCCATGCTCCTGGCCTCACCCTCGCTCATGGTCCCACTCAACTCGCTCAAGGACCAGCTCAAGAAGTTCGCCGCTGAGCGAGCCTTTCCCGATCCGGGGGAGAAGGCGCTCAGAGGTGTATACGGCGCGGTAGGCAGAGGATTGGTAAAGATAGACAGGGCACGGGGCGTCGTCCTCTTCGCCTGATGTATTACTTCTTTACGAGTCTACGAGTCTTTGGGTATCTCCCTTTCTTGTACTTGTCAGATGTTATATCTATACGAGCTTTAATAAATCGGACATGACGCCCATAGCGGTCACTGCTGCTCCTGCTCCTGCGCCTTGGATGATGAGTGGACGATTGTAACGCTCGGTGTGGAAGGCGATGATGTTGTCGCTGCCGCCCAAGCTGGTTGCGAACGGGTGTGTAGCTGGGTATCTGGGAAACGACAACGTCAGGCCATTCTACATACTCACTGCAAACAATTACTCACGTCTCAAGCGATGCCTTGACGATGCCCTTCTCGACATCTACTACACCGACGTACCTCAGCACCTGGCCCATATCCTGCGCCTGCCTCCTCAGGCTCTCGAACTCATAATCGCTATCCGCCAGTCTCCTAACATACTCATCACCATCCTCGACCTCCTCCAGTCCCTCAGGAGAGAGAGAACTCGTCGGTACGCTCTGGTACCCCTCTGGGAGAGGGATAGGCGTCTCAGGCAGCAGGCGAGCGAGGATCGTCAGTTTCCGAGCGACGTCGCTGCCGTTCAAGTCGGCGTGTGGGTTGGGCTCAGTGTACCCAAGTTCTTTAGCACGGGCGACGATATCGCTGAACTTTGGTGGTGGGGACGGCGCAGAAGGAGGAGAAAAGTGGTTGAAGATGTACGAAAGAGTGCCGGAGAAGACGCCCTCTATGCGCTTGACCTTATCCCCCGTCCGTACGAGGTCGTTCAGCGTCGAGATGATAGGCAGGCCAGCACCGACAGTCGCTTCGTGCAACAGGCGCACGCTCGGGTCGGCAGCGAGCGTCTCCTGTATACGAGCAAAGAGGGCGGCGCTGGAAGAGAGAGCGAGCTTGTTGGGCGTGAGGATGGATATGCCTGCTTGGAGGATGTCTGGGTAAGACTCTGCCACGGTGGACGAGGCGGTCGAGTCGATTAGCACTGTCTTCTCTGCTTTGTCCTTGATGGATTTGAGCTTGTCGACTACCTGAGAAAGCAATAGTTCTTCCCCTTGGGATTGGACATGATCTGGGGATGGGAGGGGGAGGGGGATGCCGCCTGGTGAGAAGAGGGTGCGCTTGCTGTTGGAGAGAGAGACGAGGAGACAGTGTTTGGCCAAAGTGGGGAGGGCGAGCTGGCCGAGGATGGCGCTGCCTACGAGGCCTGTGCCGACGAGCGCAACTTGGATGGTCATCGTCGTCGTCGCTGTTGTTGTTGTCGTCGTCGTTGAAGGGATGGCAAATGGAAGAAAAAAAGTTGAGGGAAACGGAACAAACCAGGCAAGGGATGTATATCCCCTCCCACTGTTCACAATAATAAACACACAACTATAATTCATACTAATGTAAGTATGCACGGCCTTTTGGGCAGCGTAAATATACAGCATCACAGCGTCCATCATCTTTCTGCAGCAAACTCGAATCGCATCCCTATTCTCACCATCAACGGGGAAGGGGGGGGCTACACTCTCCTACCTGCCGGAGTGCCCCCATTTGAACTGCTCCAACTCGCGATCCCGGGCAGGCCTATGGTACCCTGGGGAGGTGACCTTACCGGTAACTGGCTAACCAAAGCGCCCGGTGCCGAGCCATTCCCATTCCCCTGCGCAGGGGCAAACAGGTCCTCCTTGGGCAACGACACAAGCCCAGTATTAGGGCTCAACAAGCCCGAGAACGTGCTCGCGGTCGGTGTAGGGCTCGGACTAGGATGAGCAGTAGACGGCAGGCTCAGCCCGCCCGGTATCGATGAGGAAGTCGTGAATGCCGATGTGGGCGAGAGGGGCTGAGAGGACTCCTTGAGCAGGAACTCGACCCACATCTTTGAGAAGCTCTCTGTTTCGTCCCCCTGGGCCGGGGGGGTTCCGGCAGAAGAAGCAGACCGCGCTGTGGAAGGGACGCGTCGCGTTGCGCTGCTGCTGCCTGTCCCCGGTTGACGCTGCAGACCGGCTTTGGACCGCTCGTCGTCGTTCCACCCTAGGACGGAGGCGAGCAGGGAGAGCATCTCGAAGCGTTTCGAGTCTGCCCTGGGAGTAGAGAGGAAGGCGAGGAGGGTGTTGGTTATGAGGCGTCTGGATGCATGTGGTCAGTCTGTTAGCTGTCAGTTGTGAGGAAGGGGAAACGCACCGGTCAACATTGTTCTCCGAACTGGATTTTCGCAGACGGCGCAAAGCTTCTGTCAAGTGCTCGTTGATGATGACCGCCTCATGCCTCAACTTTCCGATCAAGAGGTTCTTCTCCTTGACTTCTTTTTCCAGCTCGCCGCATCGGACGGAAGACAGTGCCGACTTGGCCAGTGCGCTCTGCAGGCATTGTCAGCTAGAGCACTTAGGAAAGAGGGACGTACCTCTGCAGTTTGTGCGCGGGCTTTGTACTCCGCTAACGACTTTTCTGCCGTTTGGAGCCTTGCGCCCAGTTCGGCAGTAGCGACCTTGAGCTCAGATTCTTTTGCTGTTTACCTCGAGATTTCAGTCCAATTTCCCAGAAAGAAAGCAAGTGACTAACCAGCCATAAAGTCCTCCAACACGCCCTCCAAGTTGGTCGCTCTCGCTCGCTCCTCCTCCCACCTCTCACGGAGGACGTCCGCCTCCCTCCTCTCCCTCTCCCAAGCCCTCTCTCTCTCCTCCCAACCCTCTCTCTCCCCTTCCCACCCAACCCTCTCCCTCTCCCATCCCCGGTTCTCCTCTTCCCGATCTAGCCTGTCCTTCTCCCTCTCCGAGCGTAGCGCTTGCAGCTCAACCTCGAGCGCATCAAGCTGCCCGGTGCGGGACCGTAGCAGCGCAAGTTCGGAAGAGAGCGTCGCCCCCTGGTCGGAGACGGCGGAGAGCTCGATCCGTAGCGTCTCTAATTCTTGGGCTTGCTCCTCACCCCGAGCCGTGAGCACCGAGATAGCCTGTTCGCGTTTGTCCAGTTCCTCCTACAACAAAGCATGAGCATCAAGCGTCATGCACCCATCAAAGCGAGCCGAGAGGGAGAAACGAGGAAGGCAGCAGACGCACCGCATCCAACTTCAACTTTGTGCCCAAGCTCGTACGCATATGCTGCAGTTTCTCCACAAGCCCATTATACTGCGCCGCCAGAGCCTGTTTCTCCTCTCGCTCTTTCTTGAGCGCGTCTTCCAGCAGGCGGACACGCACAGGAGGGTCGTGTGCTCCTAGCAGGGGAGTGTCAGGTTTCTGCGCTGGAAGGGGGGAGGGGAGCTCGTCTAGCGAAGGACGGGCTGATGCGGATGTTGAGGACGTGGACGTGGACGCCGACGCTGAGGCAGAGGTGGAAGGGGGCGTTGGCGTCTCTGGTCTGTGGGCATGTCCGTTCACTTTCGCACTTTGGGCAGTGGAGACATCTGTTTCTGGGGAAGGCATTGATGATGCCGAGGGTATGCGGGACGTCGTCGTCGTCGTGTGGTCGTTGTCGTCGTCGAAGGGAGCGTCGAGGTCGTCGAGGACGGTGAGGGAGGAGTGAAGGACGTGGCTGGGATGTTCACTCAGGGACTCCTTTGATCATTACCATCAACAATTATTGATTTACAGTTTGAACATTCAACATAAATATATTATTATAATTTCATTCGCTATCCATCCCATACTAACTCATGTCTTCCATAAATATTCACAAAAGTGTACTAATATCATTATCAGCATCAGTCGCAGCAGCAACTTCTCTGTCCTCGAACGCACCTCAGCAAGCACAGGCTTCCCCCCTACCAAGTTACCCCACACCCCCCCCACTTCGCGACTCACAGCCCTCAACCCAGCCTTTTCCAGCATCTCCCACCACTCCAAGAACTCGGAAAAAGAGAGCCCCCAGTCCCAGGCGTGTATCTCTACTTGCACTTGACCGAACGGCAAGGGCCTGCTAGCAGACGCTTTGGAGCACAAGGAGGCTAGGACGGCGAATTCCGACCCTTCGATGTTCAGCTTGAGGATGTCGATCCATGTGTGGTCGTTCTGCCGCATGAGAGTAGTGAGGGAGAATTCGGCGGGTGTCGAAGGCGTCGAAGGCTGGTCTACTGGTCCTAGTGCAAATGGATGGAAATGGGCTCTCTCTACCAGGTCGGGGGAGAGGGCGACCTCAGGCCCGAACTGCTTTGTATTAGCATTATTCTCAGCATTTTTAGAGTGATAAACACACCAAATTGACAGAAGGATCATATCCCCATACTTCACTCCTTATGGCTCTCAACACTTCAGCTTCAAAGCTCGAGTCTGTCGAAATACCTACCACAGCAGTGCGATATCAGCATCCAACAACATTTTACTCTAGCAGAACCTACCAAAAGAGTATACAACCACTTTTTTTCTCTTCCCTAGCAGCTCTAACCCGCAGAGCCATTTCCCCCCTTGTCCCAGAGTGCCCCAGCGAGCCAAATGTCCCCCGCACTCCCAAGCAGGGAGAAAGAAGTCCCCTATCCCTCATCAGCTGGCGCCAAACAGCCAGAGAGCAGACATACAAAGTACGAAAGGGGCGCCGTCCCCCGGCCAGCTGGGACGTTTAGCAAGTAGGGAGAGGAGGAGGAGGAAGGACTTACGCCTGTAGAGCGTCTTTACCTCCCAAGCGGGAGATGTACGCCTCTCGCTGGGCTACGTGTTTTGAGTACCGCCGTTCGTTGAGCCGGGCCGATTCTGCGAGATTAATGTTTCTTGTGCCTTCACTGGGAGTACAGAGCGATGAAGACACAGAGAGAGGAAGGGGGAGAGGGAGGTAGTGGGGGTAGTGGTAGGCTAAGAGCAGTACAACGAGCACTAAGAACAGCACATAGTACCGAAGACGTCGACCAGAGAAAGTCTCCTGTACGAAGGACATTGGTGGTCGTCCTTTCCGTGCAGATGTAGAGCACTGTAAATAAATACCAGATATCTGTATTATACTTACGTACGACTCCGATGCGCTTCGGGGAATCATCAGACGAAGCATTGAAGTCGTCTTGGGAACGAGGGATAATTCAACCAACCAGCAGAGATTAATATTGTGTTGTGCACTGATCTGATTGTTCTGAAGCAAATTCTCTGTGAGGAAATATGAGGAAATAGGATGATTGTTCAGTGTCCAATATTGTCAATTACAAGCCAAGATATAGATATTCAGTCCTGCTCCTACAGCACCTCACGACGCTAATCCTCCAAATCCATCTTCACAGGCTGCATGGCCACCTCCTCTCTCTCCATCTCATGCTCCACCGCCCCCTCCCTGCCAATAGTGGCAAACGCGACGAGCACCAAGATGGCCCCTGCTACCGTCCTCCACCCGGGCACCCGACCGAGCCAGAAATCACCAACCATCGCAAAGGGAATCGTTAGTGACAAACCGATGGTCACGACGAGCGCGGTGGTGCGGAGGACGGCGAGGACGTAGAGGTAGTTCGAGGACCAGGTGATGAACATCTGAGCGCGGGGTCAGCGCGGGGTTAGTGTATTTCGCGCTTGGGGGAAAGGACGCACGGAGATGAGGAGCGCTGCCCATGCCGCGTTCTCTTTCGGCAGATCGAAGCTCTCTATCCCAAAGATATGCAACACGAGCCCAACAGGCCACAACCCGAGGGTGATAAACAGTCCCACAAAGCCGAAGAACATCTGCGTGTCGAGTTGCGCGTCAGGGCCGGTACGAACTTTGAGTATCGTTGCGTAGAAGGCGTAGAGTATGGCGCTGAGGAGGGAGAGGAAGTTGCCCCAGCTTGCGTGGGGGAAACTTGTGACCGAGGCGTGGTCGCCGAGGGAGACGAGGAGGACACCGGAGAAGCTGCGCGCGTTAGGTATGGGCATGGGATTGCACTAATGAGGTACGCACCTGATGACAACAGCAGCGATCTTCCCCCACGTAAGCTTCTCAACGCCAAACAGTCGCCCAACAGCAAGCGTAAAGAACCCGCTCGTACTAGCGAGTATCGTGCTGCTCGCCACGCTCGTAAACTCCAGACTGGCGTTCGTGGTCCAATTAGCGAAGAACCAGAGGATACAGAAGACAGCTGCGAGCTCTGCTGTTGCTCGGATGGACATCTTGCGGGATTCTGCGCCGGGCAGGGGGATGCTGTCGCGCGACGGTGAGCTGGGAGCGCGGGTGTAGCCTTGCGGTGGGCGGCAGTAGCGCTGGAAGAGGAAAGGGAGGAGATAGAGCGTCACGGTGGACGTTTTGAGGTATGTGACGCTGCGTCTCTGGTCAGACTTGTCCTGCTGGAAAGGGAGAGCAGAACGTACAGGAAAGGTTTGTTGAACCCGAATACGAAGAGGTTCTGCGCACATGCACATGAGCAACGTCCATTGCGATTGTGAGTGAGAACGCACCTGGACTAGGAAACTGGATATTGTCCATAGGGAGACGACGCTGAGGAGAAAGAATACACCGATGGCGTAGTCGTAGGTTGATTTATCGAGAGCCATCTGTAGAGTGTGAGCGCCTGCATAGCTGTCGTTGGAGTGCTTACACTGCTCTTCTACGATGATGAATACAGCGGCGTCGATAAATGCGTGATGGACGTTGTAGATGTTGATGATAAGCGCTAGTAGGACGTCGAGGAGAAAGTTGGTTGGAAATGAAGTTTGAAGTTTGATGCTTTGATGCTTTGATTGACGCGGCTGGGCGTGAGAAAGTTGGAAGAAGCAACAACAAGCTGCCAAAGTGGATTCGCAGAATAGCAAAGTTAATCAGCGAACGATTCGAAATTATTCCACTTTGAATAGTTTGAAAATAAGGAATAATTGAGTAATGGACTGAAGAAAGATGCTGCGCACTTTAGATCGGTCGTGAGGGAATTGTAATAATCGACAAGTCGGGTTTCATTTACCCTTTTGATTGAATTGTTCATTGTTGACATCCCCGCAATCACCGGAAAGGCAGAAATTTACAACTCACAATGCTTCTGGTCTTTTAGACGAGATATATCGAGCAGGATATGCATTGGATATAACAGTCCGTCGGGTCTACATTATAGTCCGAACGACAACCGAAGAAGATACAAGGTATAATTAGCATGTCCAAGTGCCGTAAATGTCAGAAGTGGGTCCAGTCCCAGTCGCCTTCCTAATCATACATGTCGCTAATGATCTCATGCTTCCCACCAACATTGATAAAAGCATACTGTGAGCACCTCAGTTCGCGCTGCAGAAGCCTCGCGGGATATGAACGCACCTCGGACAACTCGGGCCTCTGATGATGATACAAGCTCACGTAGACAAGGTTCGGTTCGGACCTGAACGGCCTGAGACCAGCAGCTTCGAGCAGCTCGAACCACTCGAGGAACTCGGCAAAGTTCTTTCCCCAGGCGTGGATCTCTACCTGTAGCTGGCCGAAAGGGAGAGGCAAGCCACGGGACATGTAATACTTACAGAAACCGCGGAGAGCGTCGAATTCCGCGCCTTCGATGTCAACTTTGAGAATGTCGATGAACGTGTGCCCTGGGAACTGGATGAGCTCTGAACGGAGGGAGCGCAAGCGCGAACAACCCACCGTTGAGCTTCATGAGCGTGTCCAAGGTGTAGACTTGGAACTCGGGATCCGACGATCCAGGACCATGGTCGTCCTTGTCCCCAATCGCGTACTTGAAGAAATGCGCACGCTGCTTCAACGACGGCACCGTCTCTATCTGAGGGCCCCACTGCAGTACCAGTCAGCGAGCGCAGGCACCTCCTGCATATGTGCTCACGGAATCCACGCTAAAGTCGTACCCGTACACCTGGGCCGTTGGGGCCGCTTCGAGCAAAGCAGCCTCATAGGACGAGTCGTCCGACACGCCTACGCAACGTCAGATACGTTCTATACAATGTAAAGGGGACGGCGCACCCATGCTGTAGATGACAACGTCCCGTTTCCGAGCGATGACATCCATGCCGCAGACGTACTTTCCCCCGTCGCCCATGCGCCCTATCCGCTGCACGTCATGCGGGCAGCCAAAGAGGGGGAGGAAGAAGTCCCATAGCGTCCAATACGCCTGCTTGAGGTCTCCATATGGCCAACTATGAGTATTCAGCAATATGAATGAATGGACGGGGGGGGAGCACGCACGGTAGGACACGCGACGCTCCTCCCAAGCTCTGGATAAAAGCTGCTCTTTCGGCCAGGACATCTTTGTACCTTGCCTCATTGGCCCGTATCGCGTACTCCGTACTATGGCCCGGTGGGGGCGGGTAGTGCGCATGCGGCGGCGGCGGGGCACGCGCACTTTCCATGTACAGGAGTAGGATGACGAGGACGAGGATCGTCCCTCCCATCAGCTTCTGCGGTGGGGGGATCTGGTTCCAAGGTGGCAGCCGGCGTGGGAGGCCGTTGACTAGCGAAGTGTATCTTGCTGATGACATTGGCGAGAGAGAGCAGCAGTTATTATCAGCAATGCCTAGAGTATTGTAAGTTGAGCTTGAGCAGTAAAGAGTAGGAGGACACAACACTCTCCGTGGGAGAAATTTCATCAATTTAATTGCCTCACAGAAAGAATATTGATGGCTTGGCAGGGTTCAGCCAGAAAACAAATTCGGCCTGAGAGCCAGCACATTTCACCTGTCATTATACATATATCGGAATATTCCCATTCCAGTGCTCGCTATGATGTATCCAAGGTTTGGTAGACTACAAGTGTATTCTGCTATGCTGTCGAAACGGAAAACATAAATGCCGTAACCAATGACAAAGCCCGGGTTATGCGTCAGTGATCAACTCATGCCCACCCCGGATATTCACAAACGCGTACTGTTCACTGTCAGCAGCGTGCACGTCAAACTCTAAGCAACGCACCTCAGAAAGCGTAGCTTTGGCGTTGAGTATATTGACGTAGACCAGATTTGGCTCAGCGCGGAACGGACGGAGACCGGCACTCTCGAGCAGCTCGAACCACTCAAGGAACGTCGCGAAGCTCATCTTGGAGTCCCAGGCGTGGATTTCGACCTGAAGCTGGCCAAAGGGCAGGGGAAGACCACGCTCCATATAATAGTTGCAGAAACCACGGAGCACGTCGAACTCGGCACCTTCGACGTCAATCTTCAAGATATCGATCCAGGTGTGTTCTGAGCTGAGTAAGCAGAGTGAAGTGTCTTTTGGCCGGAGGGCTCACCGTTCAGCTTCATGAGCGTGTCGAGCGTGTAGACCTGGAAGTTCGGATCGGCCTCCGGACCATGGGAATCCTTAGGTCCCACAGCCCATTTGTGAAAATGAGCACGCCCTTTCAGCTCAGGGTTGTTCTCGATCTGAGGTCCCCACTATGCTCGCCGTTGAGTGCCCTGCGCCTGGCATGAGTGATGGTAGACAGCTTACAGAGTTGACGCTGTAGTCGTACCCGTAGACCTGGGCACGAGGGGCACGTTCAAGCAGCGCAGCCTCGAACGACGAGTCATCCGACACACCTGTACCAGCGCTAACCTTCAGAGTCTCATCCCTAAACAGGAAGCGGTACGCACCAAAGCTGTAGATCACAGGGCTCGCTTTGTCCGCGATCAGATCCATGCCGCAGATCCACTTTCCGCCATCGCCCAGTCGTCCAATCCGTTCCACATAATGTTGACAGTCGAAAGAGGGCAGGAAGAAGTCCCACAGCACCCAGTAGCTGCCTCCAGACCTGAGAGTCGTGAGTCAGGATCTCTTCCCCATAAACTACGGGCTTACGCCGCTATGTGTGACGGTCCGCCAAGGCTGTTGATGAATTCGTGCCGATCGTCCAGTACGACTTGGTACAGGTTCTCGCTGAGTGCGATCCGCTCTGCAAGGGAGAGCGTTGTTCCCGGGACAGGTCTACTGGGCCCATGAGGCGGTGGGGGCCGATCTCCTCCATACGGCGGTGGCCTATAGCCCGAGTGCTCATACCGTTCGTGTCCGAGAAACAAGACAAGAAGCATCAACACGAGGATCGCTCCTCCCATCAGTCGGTGCGACAGCTGTATCTGGCTCCATGGTGGTATCCTCCTGGGCAGGCCGCTCAAAAGCGACGTATAGCGGGCGGAGGGCATAGGTGATGACGGTACGGACTCAGCAGTGTGCGCTGGAAGGGTACCATCCTCACAAAATCCCAGCTGTCAAGCATACTTGCTCAAGTACGTGTACGAAACAAATCCGGGAGGCCCTGAATGCCGGTGCCAAGAGACTATGTTCCTTTTTTCGTGCGAAGAACACGGACTTGAACATTTCAGTTTCTGCACAGCCTAACCGAAGTCTCCTTGAAGCTGCCTTTTGTCAGTATGCATTATACCGAGAATAAGCTGTTGCATGGTTCTCACGATATACTCTGACCGCTGGCGCTGTTGAAGGAACAGAGTCGCAGTAGGCACTTGTCCAGAGTTCTATTCAAAAATTGCCTCCACTCTGAGGGTTAGGCTTCAACTCCCAATCAGAACATGTCAACTCTTGATCGTAGCTCATTTACTTCACCAAAGGCCCTCAAGCCCTTGGGGAAACTCTCTGGCACTCTGCCAAATCGGTCTGATTCCGTATAGGACCGTCGGGCTACCACATGGTCCGAACAATAACCTATCATCTAAACTCAGAACCTGTCAGAACACCAAATTGCGCCGACTGATGTCTGGGAACCCGTTGATAAGTTATTTGATCCGTTATTCCATCTCCTGCAGGACAGCCATGCTCTTGATACATCAGAGAACCAGCCTTCTCCTCGAGGGGCTCGACAGTCTTGTACATGATTCCTGACCACTTCGACTCTGTCCCAGGCCAACAGGTGGCCGTTGTAGGACCGTTCAACATTACAGTACGCTTGGGGAGCAAAGTCCATACATCTAGCTATAACCACTCGAGAGAATGAGCTTGCTTCGGAGCACTTGAGCGAGTTGCTGACGTATGACTCTTGGAGGTCAGAGACCGCTCTCTGCATAATAGGATTCTCTTTTTGGGCCGAGTGGGTTGTCGTATTCTTATGTTTTCATGGACGTTTCTTTAGGTGTTTATGGATGTGCTCTATGGAGTTGTGATGATGTGTAACTGGTCTGTTGATGTATCCCGCGTTAGGTGCAAACCCTGCTCCGAAACACGATGTCGTACGCATTTCATGCCTTATACGCATCCTTAAACACCACAGTCCGAGCTCACGATAAACTCGCAAAAGATAGTCAAACAGTGCTATTGGAGTGGTGCAGTCATGCGCTTTTGAATATAAAGATGTAGACATAGAGCTAGGCGCAGATTAAGCTACTAAGCGTTGGGTCATAACTCCACATGCAGGCAGATGCACATGCGGATCTAGATAGAGCGGACGGGGGGTGTTCAAGCGTCCACAAACTTGGTCACGCTGTTCAGCCACTTGACGTATTCCTGTGTGCTGTTAGTTAGGGGACAAGGAGAGTGGGGGAAGTGCACCTTTTGTTCTTTGTACTCCGCATAATCCGGGATGAAGCTCGCGAGCTCATCGGTGATGCCCCTCTCCTGGATATACTTCTCGAACTCCTCCTGCACCTGCACGTCCAGGTTATCAAACTGGGGGCCGATGTACATGCCCCTCCGCTCCCATTCCGCGTTCGCGGACATCTCCGTGCCCAAGCGCGCGTCGGAGTAGTAGGAGACGCCGTCGATGATGAACGTGCCTTCTTCGCTCATGAGCTCGACTACGAGTGCTCCGCCAGAGGGCTTGGAGATGGTTGCGCTGCAGCGGAGGGAGTAGGTCTGGGGGGGCTCTTCTGCGCCTTCCTCGCCTTCGAACTGCGGTTGCTCGTTATCGATATCCGCAATAGAGAAGAAGACTTTTATACTGTGTTCTTGTTAGCCAACCTCCAACCTCCGCTGCAGCTAGGGCTGCAAAGGAGAAAGGAGAAGGACGAACGTCTCGTTCCCGAATGTCCGTAGAAGCTCAACATCATCGTGCCCCTCCTTGTCCCTGATCTCCCAGACGTTCTGACCCTTGAACTCCTTCAAGAACTCTGGTTCAGCAGCAAGAGAATTCTCAGCTTCGTACTTGATCTCTTCTTTCAATCTGGAGGAGAGTGCTACGTCCGCTATTCCGGACCGATGTGAGCTGGTCTGTGATGGGGTTGGACGGTGGGTTGAAGAGAGGGGGGACGTACATTCACCTGCGGAGCGGGAGAGACGGGTGGCGCTGAATGCCCGGACTGGGAGACGAGATGCCGCAGGAAGGGTGGTACGGAGTATGGAGCGCAACAGCGGGCGGGAGGTGGAGCGTAACATAGAAGTAGCAGCAGGGAATGCACGGAGGGCGGACATGTTGAGCAGGACGATGAGGAAAATGAGGAGGACGATGAGGAGGAGGAGAAAGTGCCTTTGGAGTGGTCAAGGGAATTTTGGCGTGCGGACGGAGGCAAACGGAAGCGGATGCGCACGGGCGCTGTGAAAAAGGTTGAAAAAGGGCAAAGCGGACAGGGATTTTCACTATCATTCCTGCGTCTCCCTCCTCTCTTCCATCTTGCTTTCTTTTACTGTTTATTGACGCGCTCTTGTTGTGTGTAACGATACTGGTCAGTACATCATTTTGGTTGGAGTACGGAGGGTAGACGATGAATACTTTTCAAATTCAAACTAGAGTATCTGAGATCTCGCTACGGCGGGGTCGATGCTTTTCTTCAACTCGTTCTGATCTTCGTTGGGTTCTCTTCCCTCGTCTTGAGCTCAGAGCTGACGATGATAGTGTTTAGATGCGTGTGCGAGGTTGGATACATTGGAGTAACGTCCGGCGCAGCAGGACGTGCAGGAAGTCGCCAACCCAGCACGTATCGACCTGCCCCCAAACCCAGAGTGACAGAGAGTACCAGAGCAGACACCCAACACATGCACACACACCTGTGAGTACCTCCAGGACCGGTCGGCAATGATGTTATCAAGGAGTTACCGCCTGACTGTGCGCGTGACGACAACTCCACGGCTGTATTTATACTATTTTTCTGAGCCGACCGCCCTTCACACTTCCCACGTTCTCCTAGCTGATGCTGACTGGTTATCCTAGTACTGTACTCCGCTGCCTGCATGGGAGTTGAGCACTAATACTGCTGTGAGTACCTACCACGCTTGTACTTGTGTTCTCGCATGATGCTTTACACGACGGTCTTCGTACCCTCAGTGCCGAAACTGCCCGCCACAGCTCAATATCTCGGGCAACCCTTTCTGATCCCCTCTCCTCTTTCCCTCCCTCTGTTATCACGTTCGTTGAGTGCTGACTGAAGGTTGAGCCGCAGGTCCGATGCTGGCGTGTTTCGGTCCCTTGGCACTGACGGAAGGGACGGGCCGGACCGGGATGCATTCGATGTCCATGTCGCTGTCCATGTCGATGTTGATCTCTGACGATATAGACGATTAAAGGTATGTTATTTGTAGATAAAATGCTTATGAAAATCAAATACCTACTACAATCTGCATTACACACTCCTTTAATAGGAAGAATCCGGGATAAAAAGTTCAAGAAAGTATGACGTCCGCCCCTGTGCAAAAAACTGCTTCCGTGTCCTCGGTGTTACATTCATTCATTCATTCACCCGGTGTTCCTCGAGTGTATCGTCAGAGCGTCAGCAACGACTTGCACCTTGCTTGTCCTCCTCCCACCATCTCCGTCGCTGTCTTCGACGTCCTCGACTCACCTGCTCCTGCTCTTGCGAATTAGTACCGATGCCTAAAACTCCTATGGCACTCTTCGCAGCCGGGATGCGTCGAGCACCCCCACGCTCTATTAGGAGGTTCTCGCTCGCTCTCCAGTCCTCAGCACGCAGGAGCAGCAGGGTTACGAGGTCTGCTGTCACGTATGTCTTTCTCTTTCTGCGCAGGACGGTTTGGTACTGTACTGAGTACTGATTGGAGCAGGTTCCAGCTGGCAGGCTTTCGCACTTCCGCCCTTGCGCAGGGTATACCCCCTCCCCCGTGTGTTACCGAGACTAGAGACTGACAGACACATGAACAGAAATCGTCAAAGTCCCCCAAATGGCAGAGTCTCTTACCGAAGGTACCCTAAAGTCGTGGACCAAAAAGGTGGGCGACCGAGTGGAACAAGATGAAGAAGTAGCTGTGATCGAGACTGATAAGGTGGGCCCCCAAGCGCTGGTGTGATGGTGTGGGATCGCCGCTGACTAAGGTAGATCGACGTGACGGTTAACGCCCCCAAGGCGGGGAGGATCAAGCACCTCTTGGCAGCGGAGGAGGATACGGTTGAAGTAGGACAGGATCTGTTTGAGCTTGAGCCTGTGGAGGGGGGGGCGGAGGCTCCAGCTCCGGCGGAGGTGCCCGAGAAGGCTGCTGCACCTGGTGAGGGAGATGTTTTGCTTGTGTGTGTTGGGCGCTGATTGGGGTAGGACCGGAGGAACCGAAACCTGCGGCTAAGGAGGTCGAGAAGGCTGAAGCTGCACCTGCACATGTGCCTGTGCCTGAAGCGGTCGCTCCTAAAGAGGAGAAGCCTAAGGAGGAAAGGCCTGCTAAGCCTGCTGCCTACAGGGGAGAGACTCGGGTCCGTCCTTCCATTCCCATAGTACGCTTCTAACGCGCGTGCTAGATCAAGATGTCCCGTATGCGCCTGCGTATCTCCGAGCGCTTGAAGCAGTCTCAAAATGCCGCTGCCTCGTTGACAACGTTCAACGAGATCGACATGTCTTCCCTGATGGACATGCGCGGGAAGTACAAAGACCTGGTATTGAAAGAACACGGGGTGAAGCTAGGGTTCATGTCCGCTTTCGCAAAAGCGTGCTGTCTCGCTCTCAAAGACTTTCCGGTAGCGAACGCCAGCATTGAGCGGGACGAGATCGTATACCATGATTATGTGGATCTGAGCATCGCCGTCGCTACGCCTAAGGGGCTCGTGACGCCCGTGGTGAGGGGGGCGGATGAGCTGGGGATGATACAGATCGAGAAGGAGATTGGGGAATTGGGGAAGAGGGCGAGGGATGGGAAGCTTGGGTTGGAGGATATGGCCGGTGGGACGTTTACGATGTGCGCAACTTTTACTTCTGCTTCTGCTTCCATTTACTTGGGAGGTGAGGTGAGGTGATGTGAGCGGATGTGCTTATGATTGGACAGATCGAATGGAGGCGTGTTTGGATCGATGTATGGAACGCCGATTATCAATCTTCCGCAGTCTGCTGTCCTAGGTGCGTTTCCCCTCCCCTTCACCCCCTTGCCCTTCCCCCCTCCCCTCCCCCCTTCCCCCTCACTCATATCACTCATCACCCACACCCAGGCATGCACGCAATCAAAGACCGTCCCGTAGCCATTCAGGGCAAAGTGGAGATCAGACCAATCATGATCGTCGCCCTTACTTATGATCATAGGCGTAGGTAGGTGTAGGTAGTGAATAGGACAAATCAGCTCCATTTCCACCATTTCCCCCTTCTTTCCCCCCTCCTCACTCACACCTCACAGCCCCCCCCCCCCCGGCCCCCCCTCACAACAACATCCTCCTCGGATCCTCCAAATACTCCTTCACCCTCACAAGAAACTGCACCGCCTCCCTCCCGTCCAATATAGTTGGTATCATTTCTATTGAACACAAAAGGTGAACGGATGGTCCAACAGTCCAACCGTCCGTTGTAGTGCCTTCTAGCCCATAAGGTGAGATAGGTCAACCATCTAGTCCCTCACAACGCGGGAAAGAACGGAATAGCGACCGATACCACCCGCACACCGGAACCGAAATTGTTCCGAATAGAGTGGCGAACGGAGGCTGTCGTTGTCACTTGATTCAACGATGCCCCGTTCGCCCCTCCTCTCTCTCTATCTCTATCTCGAACCGTCATCTGCTTGCTGCTCGTCGTCCTCCTTTGATTGCTCGTCGTCTTCGACATCCATCTCCTATCTATACCATAGCCATTACCGCCATTACCGCCGCCATCACCACCTCCATCAACCGCTCTACACCTATTATCCCTCTACCTCCCAGATCTCACAACCAAACACCTTACATCCACCCACCCATCCCACCGCCAACCACCCCACCTACCGACTCACCAACCACCCACCCAACCATGTCATTCGCCCTCGTACTCCCACCACCCCGTCCACACCTAACAACACCCAGACCAAGACGCACCCATATGTCTCTCTCTCCTTCTCCTTCTCCTGCTCGTACACCCGCTCCCGCTCCTGCACCTGCGCATGCACCTATGCAGGTGCATGCGCACAAGAGACCGGGAGTGATCATGCTCTCCAAACCGCTAGGGTCGTACTCTCAAGAACGGAGAAGGGAACGCAAGTCCAAAGAAGGGGATAACCAGAACCAAAGAGAGAAGGAGAAGGACAGGGAGTCAAAGTACCCGGTTAGCATGCCTACGACTCCTACGCCTCTTATGCCTCGCTCGGAGAACAAAGAAGACAAAAAGCGGAAGATGAGGCATAATCGTACGAGGAGCGCCGTTAACACCCCCATCCCTACTTCCACTCCCACTCCCGCAGCTGCAGCTGGTACAACGGCTTCCCCTGACCGGCCCACTTCTCCCTCCTCACCCACCCGTCCCCCTCGTACTCCGCCTTCCCCAACTCAGACTCAGACACAGTCTCAGCGTAGGAAAGGCTCGCAGAGACGCAAGACTGCCCGGGCTCTGCATACACCTGCTATTATGCTTGGACCTTCTGCGTCTGCCCCTCAGCTGGAGGACGTCTTCTCCTCCTCACCGTCTTTGCCCCTTGCTGCCGCTGCGCAGGTGCAGGACGCCACCACCACCACTGCTGCTGCTGCTACCGCTAGATCAGCCCTCGCACAAAGTCTTCGTAACTCGGCAATCACACCCCCTATGCATATATCTGACATCGTGCCAATCACGCCCGGTTCGGCCCCTGCAAGTGCTTCTCTCCTCTCCACCCCTGCGCCTATTTCCCCTCCCGCTCCTGTCCCCGTCCCTACGTCTGGTGCGAATGGTGCGAACCAGAAGAAACGGAATCTTAGGAATTCGATGATCAATATCCCCCTTTCTGCAAACTCCCCCGCTATATCCACCCCTGTCAAAGCCAGTACCGGTCCCGGAAAGACAGGCAGCCTGCGGATCCCCCGCACGCAGAGTCACCCGTTTTATCAAATGGACCTCTCCCTCTCACCCTCACCCTCGTTATCCCGGTCTGTCCCTTCCCAGAGCCAGAGCTTGCGGATGTATTCTGGCTCTTCGCCGGTGTTGAGTACTCCTGTGCGCGCTGTCCCCCCCGCCGCCGTTCCCGCTACTGTTCCTGGTCCCCGGACTGGTCCTGGGAGTGGGAGTGGGACAGGGACTGGCGCCCGGCCCCCCCCAAACTCGGAAACGAAACACAAACCGACGCTCTCACTCGCACTCGCTTCTCATGTTCCCCTGCCGGTGCCGGTGCAGATGCAGGCTGCTTCGTTGCCTTCTACGCCGTTGCCCAGGCTGGATAACGCGACTAGTGGCAGTGGGATGGGCTCGGGCAGGGGTAGTGGCCCGGGCATGGGTATGGGTATGGGGAGTGGGAGTGGAGGGTACTGGAATCATGCGAGGGGGATCACATTCCCCTCCGCCGCGGGAGGGGTTTTTCCCCCGATTCCGATGCCGGTGCCGGGATCGATATCGATGCAAGAACTGGAAGAATCATTCGCTTCGTATTCCTATTCTTCTTCTTCGATGGAGGATTCTGACCTGTCTGTGGATGTTGAGGGTATGGGCACGGATATGGAACTGGAGGAACAGCAGGAGGAAAGGGAAGAGATCGTGTTCTTTGGCCAGAAGGATATGGACCGTCTGGACCGGGTGGATCGGAAGCTTACAGACCGAGCGAGGGGGAAGGGGAAGGATAAGCTGCCTAAGGAGGTCAGGGAGACGAAGAGGCGTGAGAAAGCAGAAGAACGTGCACTTGCGAAGGAAACCAAGGCAGCCAAAGAAGCTAAGGAACTCAAGGACAAGGAGCCAAAGGACAAGGAGCAGAGGGAGAGGGAACCGAGGGAGCCAAGGGAGAAGGAGCAGAGGGGAAAGAAAATCGTCTATGCCGGACCGCAGTTTTATAATTCTCCGGCACCGGATGCGTTGCCCCCTCCGACGTTCTAACCTGCGTGCACGGTTAACGAAGACGAAGGCGAAGGCGTTGGACTCTTTTGACGGTTACTGTTATTTGGCTCTCTCTGGACTCTCTGGATTCTCTAGACGTACACCCCTAAACCTCCCCCTGCCTTTCAGGGTTCTGACGCCCTCCTCTTGCACTCCCCACCCCACCCCACCCTACCGCACCTCCCCTCCCGCATCCCACCCTCCTGCACCCCACCCACCGCATCCTACCCACCGCATCCCCCACCGCATCCTACCCACCGCATCCTACCCACCGCATCCCCCACCCCACCCCCCACCCCACCTCAACACACTCGGTGACAACAATCGACGGCTCCCGGTTCCCGGTTATCTGGCTCTCTACTAGACCTCATCCATATCCACATCACATCCACATCCACATCACATCCACATCCACCCACCCACCACACCCAACCACCACACCCACCCACCGCACTCAAGAAGCAGGCTATCCCCCTCTACAGCCAGTAGATGGCCCCACCTGCTTTCCTCTTTCCTGTTTCTGTATACCACGGGGCCTGGGCGCCCTGCCCTCGGACGCTTGGTCCTCGGCTCGATCTGGCCCATCCACCCGCCACGCTTGTAAAAGTTGTAAAATCAGTACTTGCAGTCTCCAGTCTCTCCGGTCTCTCTCTGGTGTCTCTGGTGTCCCTGGTCTGTCTGCCTGTCTGTCTCGTTCAGTCTCCCTCTCTGTCTCTCTCTGCAAGCATCGTGTCTTTTTATCGAACTGATCGAAAATCTGCAAGATTCCCGAAATTTTTCCTTTCTCGAAGTTTAGTCGATCAACCGTCTGCGTCTATCGTCGGTCGTCCTCGATCAAGATTCCCCTCTTCTGTCTCTCTCTCTCTCGCTTTCTCCCACTTATCGACCAATCGCTCTGTCGACTGGTCCAAATCTTCTCTCTATGAAACCCGGTGAAAACGCGCACCAACCCGACCGACTTATTCCGAACAAGACCGATCCTTGATCCTCGTCCTATCAAAACCCCAAAGCCCAAATCGACTCTGCGCTGCCTGCCCCACAGCCGCGCGCGTCTCACGTGTTTCCCTTCCCTTGCGTTTACGTCTCTCTGCGTCTGCGTCCTCGTCAGCTTTTCCTGGGTCATACATCGATCTCTCTCGAGTCTCAGCGTCGTCCTCATTGGGCAACAGGTCAAGTCTCGATTCCCCAACCTCCTCGTCCATCGACCGCTTCATATCCTCTACTTATCTTGTACGATAGGCCCAACAGGGCACCGTTACCCCCCTCCCCTCGCCTGGGCGCCTTGTCAACCCCGCACGCGCCTCATCCGCCCGGAGCGGCACGCAACACCCCAGCTCTCTCTGGATACATACATCGCAACCCCAACACTGTAATTGTGCAATATCGTATCGAAACCCAAACGTTTTATCCATATCGTGGGACATCACCCTCTCTAGTCTTTATCTACACCTACAAGGTTTCACCTACCGACCGACCGACGGACTAAGGACGACCGACTGGCCGTCACTAGTACTGGTGGTCTTCTGCTGTTCTACGGAACGCCCCCGCTATCCGCTATCCGAGGTCCGCTATTCCAACCCTGGACTCATCCCAAGCTCCAAGCCGAGCGTCTCTTGCCGTATCGTATCTGGCGTATCAACCCAGACCGGCTCCCACTCTCCCTCCCTCCCTCCTGCTCCTGCTCCCGCTCCGGCCGCTGTATGCCAATATCTTTCCACACCCGCACCTTGCACCTTGCATCTTGCACCGCACAACGTACACCCCGGTCCTGGCACGCTCGTTCTCTTCCTCGTTCACCCGACCCGTTCACCCGTTCATCACCCGTCGCTTCCCCCCCGCCCTGCCTCGCCCCGCGTCGCCCCACGCGCAGGTCCCCGTCCTCAGGTCAAGCGCAATGCCCCCCTTGGGTGCCTCGTACTCCGTCCGCTCCCTGCCTGGCAGGCCAACCTTTCCCTTCTTAGGTAGTTCATCACTCTTCTTTTGGGAAAATTTGTTGTATTCGGCGTGTGATGTTACTGGATATGAAGGAATGAGAATCAGATGTTGTTGGTACCCTTATCCTTTGTCGTTCGTCGTATTGGGAAGACTTCCCTGTTTGAAGACTGTGTGAGAACAGACGCGGTATGAGGATGATACACGTTCCTGGTATTTCTGGTGTCATAATGAAGGGATAACTATGTGGATTGGAAAATGCAGTGCATCGAGACTGGTGTAGTATAGTACAGTTGCTAGAGGATATACAGTATGCAAGTATGCAATAATGGTGATATCGGGGAACGAAAGACATTCACGACTCCATCTGAAGCGAGTTGTACTTATTTATCCCACTCTCGAGAACTGAAGTAAACGGGAGTGAGATCTCCGAAGTACAGAGTCCACGTCCACCTCCTTCCTGGAGCTGCTGGGCGTCTTGTTCTCCTTCCCTGGTTTGGAAACGGGCTTCGTTGGCAGAGGCTCTGATACTCGTCCCTTTGTGGATGAACGACCTGCCTTCGTCGGCTGGAAAGGCTTGCTGGCGATCATCGTCTTCCGGCGGCCATCAGCAGGCGTGGTCTCAGAAGACTAAAGCTTCATCAGTAGACGTTCGACGAGCGCGTGATATGCTTACGCTTGAATCGCAGGCATAGCGACTCCACCAGGAAGCCGATACCTGCTTCTGTCGCTTTTCGAGCTCTGCATCCTCGTCCCCGGAATCCAACATGGCCTCTACTTCCGACTCGATTGTTCTTGTCTTCGATTTGCTCGGAACCTTAGACAGGGGGCGCTTGACTTCCCGGTTGCTGATGATATCGTCCCCATCCTCGGGTGTTACCGGCCACTCGTCGATGTCGCTCGTCTGCGGGGCAAGCATGCGAACAACCCCAGTCTTTGTGTGAGTCGGTGTCTCCAGAACTGTCTTCTGCGGGAGGCGAAAGAGAAGTCGATGGGGATGATCCTTTGATGGCGATGCGGGACTGGAGACTTCGATGGCATCTTCCTGCCTTGCTGGATGGCCTATTTCGGTATAGTTCACATCTAGTGGGGAGGATGGAGAGCCGGCTAAGGGAGGAGACGGCATAAAATGAATAGATACAGCGGCCGGCGAAGAAGGCGGTAATGGTGACATGTAGCCGGTTTCCTGTTCAATTTCAGGACAGGCAGGCGGGAGGTCATCGACATCAATCTCTTCTGGGGCACCGATCTCGCATGCATCTGAGGCGATGGTCTCTGGGCTTGTTGGCTGTGCGCATCCCCCACCAAAGAAACGACTGTTTGTCTGGTGAACCATCTCGGCTAAGCATGCTTCAACTGGCGTGGCAGGAACATCTGGAGATGGATCTGGAGGGGTGGCTTCTGGGGTGTCGACAGTTTCAGGATCATTCGGTGGAATATCTTCTATTCGTGTAATGATTTGAATCTCTGGTTGCTGAGCTGCTGCGAGCCGTGCGCGCTTGGCTTCTTGAAGCTCTTCACCGTCCTCTGCTAGTCTCCGCTTGCCGCTGCCAGAGGCCTTGAAGCGACTTGCTAGCTCTGGTGCTGTTTGAGATCTCTCTTTCTTGTCTTTATCGATGCGACCTAACGTATCCATCAGCACGTTTTTCGCAACGTTTTTCGCCGCTGCCTACCGAAGAAGCTGTCAATGGTCTTCGTTTGTTTGATACTGCCTGTGCTTGCCCTCCGGTTGTTCGTACTGTTCAGAAGGGGCTTGGTCTGTGTTTCTCAGTTTCCATATGCTTACCAAAGCGGGCGAATGGCTTACCTTCTTAATCTCATCAGGTCGATACCAAGGACTGATGTCTTTGATGGGTTGGTGACTAATCGGACACAGTTCACCAGACGCAATGCGCTGTGCGATGCCTGGATCCAGATCCGCACCAACGTAGGCCTCTTTGGCATCATTCCATGCCACCTCCCAAGGTCTCTCTCGGAGATGTACAAGCTTCTGTGCCAGCGGACAGTACACACGCTGGAACACGAAAGCTAGCTCGGCCATCTCGAAATCTTGTTGATATCGTTTTGGTACTTTCATCTTGCCTTCTCTACGGACGTGCTGCAGGACTCGATCGACAGTCTTCCATTGTCGGAGCAGTCGGTGGGCTGTCTTGAGACCCATCCCTTGGATTGATGGCAAGTAGTCACACCCGGACAGCATCTGCAAAGACAGATTCGGAGTTAGAGCAGATAGATCGAAGGCAGACACTACTCACAGCCATCCACCGAAACTCTTTATCACCCCAGCCAACGAAACTCGCCTCTTTGCACTTTGTCAACCTACTCCGTCGTACCCTCTTGCACTGTCCATCGGTATCCAGCTTGAAGAGAACATCTTTGCAGCCAAATACTAGCAAATCCGAGTCTTCCGTGATGATGCCATGCACGTGCCCGGCGTTTTCCAAATATGCCATCTGCGCATCGGCCTCGTATGGCGCGACGACATATTGTACATCCTCTGACTTGAGGGCTTTGATGACTTGGAAGGCGTGCTCGGGCGTGATGTCAAGTGCTTTGACGTAGAATTCCCGCGCTTCTGAGGCTTTACCCTTCGCGAGGAGCTCCCTTGCCTGTGCGAGGGCCTCTGCACGGCTCCTACTTGAGGTCAGCACAGACCACCTGTTTCGTCTGTTCAGCACATACTTTGATCGCTCTTCCTCAGTTCCCTTCTTTGCTGGGAGGGGCCCTCCATCAAATACGACGAACGGTTCGATGTTGTGATATCGCAAAAGTCGAATTCGGCCCATAAAATAGTCGACATACCTGCCATGAGTTAGGCATCGTAAATGACGGCACATGATAATGGCTCACTTGACAGTCTTCTCTCCCTTTGCTAGTTGTTCCGCGCATCCCCATGCGCCCTTATGTAGCCAACTGTATCCATCAATGGCGTATCTGCAATAAGGGATCAGTTGGGGAAGCTCGAAAAGTCTGTGCAGTGCGCGTACGTTCTCCCAGCAACCTCTGACACGTGGATATCCTCTCTAATGTCTCCTAAGAGGGGCAGAAGCCCCTTGATACCCATTATGTATCCAGTGTATTTACCAAGAAAGCAAGCACTTGTGAACAAGAAAAAGTAAGAGTGGTGCGGTGTGGTAGGGAATAATAAAGGGCGTCTGATGGACGCGGTGCGGATGCAAGATAAATCAGTCGCGCCAGGTCACGCGTCTCGCGTGTAATGTCAACCGCGCTTCCATGCCGACGCGTCCACTGCCTGATATCACGTCAAGATTAGTATGTGGGCCACTGGGATATCCATTATAGCATCTACATGGACCGCCGCTAGTGATACAGCTAATGCGGTTAATGCGAGATTGAAACAATAAACATATATACAATCAGTTATAGAACTGGACCTCTCCACCAATTGGATGGTTAAAGTCCTGTTCAAACTGATCCATAATAGTGAGGACTTGGATCAGGTGTTTGAAGCCAAGCTTGTCCTTCTTGCTCACAGCCAGCGCCTGGGCTGTCCTGACGCAGTTCTTGATCTGCCGTCCATTGATCTTCTTCAGTGCCAGCTCCTCCCATTGTTCCTCCTCCAGGTCGCTCTGCTGGAGACCGACCTTAATCAGGAACGCCAACCAAATCTTCCGCTTCGCCGCACGGTCCAGGTCCTTGAATCTCAGCGAGACATGGATACGCGACTGGAACGCTTCGTCGAATGTCTTGACACGATTTGTGGTTAGGAAGAGGATGCCGCGGAAGTACTCTAGTTGTCGAAGGAACACTGCAACTAGAGCGTTTCGAGCCAGATCGTGCACCGACCGTTCCTCCATGTACACATCCGCCTCGTCAAGGAGGACGACGGCACCCCAAGTATGCGCGATATCGAAGACCTCGGTGATCGCCGTGTCTAGTTGCTCGGCCTGGATTCCCAGGTCGCTCGATTTCACGACGTACAGCGGCCTCCGGACATGCTCGCTCGTTGCCTCGGCGCTCATGGTCTTCCCAATACCCGGAGGGCCGTACAAGTTGAAGATCAAACCCTGTCCCTTGCCCTCGATGAAGTCATCGAACTTCTCGTTCTGGGAATGCGCTTCAACCAAGGACTGGATGAGCTCCTTCTGCGCAGGGGGTAGTACGAGATTACTGAATGCCGCGTCGTTCCATGTGATCTCTTTAACATGATCGACGTTGAATTCCACTAAGAGTTGGTGTTAGCTACCAGTGAAACAGACATGAGAAATGGATGCTTACGCCAAACCTTGTCAACTAAACTGAACCCGTACACGATAGGAGTAGTCAGCATTAGCTGATCGTCGTTGAGCTCGTTGACCAGCAAGATCTCTTCCCGCTCGTTATCCTCTTCATCAAACTCGTCGTCGTCTCGTCGGTAACCGTAACTGTCCTCCTCACTGTCCTTTGATCCCTCGACAGTAGGGATAGGGTAGTTAGCGTTGATCCGCTTGAACGTCTTCTTGTCGATCATGACGCGCCCCTTGACCTACCAGAGTCATCAGAACCAAGACCCTTGCTCATCGACTCATAAACACTCACAGTGACTCTCGCCTTCTTCGCCTGGACGAACTTGAATGATACTCCGTCGTACGCAAGATGGTGCATCCCTTCCAGCTGAACCCATCGCTTGCCACGGGCGATCAGCTTTGCACGCAGCTCGTCCTGCCGCGTGTGGAATTTCATCGGATAAGCTGCCAGACTTGTGATCTTTGCCGAACCTTTGAATAGCGGGATGCGGATGGTCATCTTCGCATGGCCGAATTTCGCGTGCTCGTCCGACATGGAAGCGCACGAATCGACATATCGACAGTCGAGTTCCCAGTAGTGCGGTGATGGCCATGGGGTATGCAGCTCAGCGCCAATCAGCTCAACGGCGCGAGACTGGTCGGTTGTCGAGCAGGATGTGTACATCAGGGTACGGGGGAGGAGGATCGCCCAGAGAAGCTCGAAGGAGACTTCTCCGTGGGGCACAAGACCACTCACTTGTTCGAGGGTAGACTGGTATTCCGACTCGAGGAACTCGACCAGGATGGTCAGATGAGTAATCATAGTCGTCTCATCCTCTGTAGGCGCTTCGTTCGTCTTGAGCGTGTCCAAGTGTTTCCGCATGTACGGAAGCCAGGCAAGCAGGATTTGGGGATCAATCTAGAAGCGATTGTTGAATTCCATGTATTCGGTGGAGGGATCTCTCCGGCGTACCTTTACTACTGCCGGGTTCCACGAAACACCCGGAATGTTGCCGATTACAGCTTTCCCCGCCTTCTTTAGGAACGGACTCTTGATGTGGATGAGGGTGAACGAATCGGTGTTGTCCGAATTGAACTTGCGGTACACGGTGAAGCAGTACTCGCGGTATTTATCCGCCTTGTCTTCTGCTGATACCGGTGCAGCATCCCGGACCACCCACTCGCTGTCGGGTGATCAGGAAGCTGCCCGGAGGGTGCGGGAATGTAACTCACCCAGCTTCCTTATCGTACACCTCGTCCACACGCTTGAGCTCTGGCTTGCATCCTGGGGCGAACTCTGGCTCTTTCGGCTTCTCCTCCTCTTCCGTCTTTTCCCCATCCTTCGTCTCAGCACCCTGTTCCTCCTTCTCCACACCTTCCTCTTTAGGCGCCGGAGTGGAGTCACCTTCTGTCTTCGCGGACTCATCCGACGTCTTCGGCTCGTCACCCCCATGGGCAACATCAGCCTTGACCCCGTTCGCTATGGGTGCTGGCGGTTCGGTCAAGTGAGGGGAACGTGGGTCAGCGTGAACCCCATTGATGCCGTTCACCTCATGGAGTATGCCGTTGATCTCTGGCTTCTTGATGGCAATTGCGATAACGGATTGGGTGACCGAGTCGCTCGACGGAGGGTCGTCGTGTGTTGTTTCTACGGGGATTGGCATTGTGGTCGAAGGTATATACTGAGAGGAATGCGATGAAATGCAGCGGGGAGATAGGGGACCAGCAAAGTGGTCGTCACTGTCACGAAGGGCGCAAGGGGGGAGATATAAAGTACTTTCCGCGCGCAAGGCTACCTGGCCTTTATACGTCGCTTGATTTGTGGGTGTTGAAAAGGGGTCGTTATATGTAGAATACCCAAATAAGCCTTATTTGCGGGTTGTGTACTGTGCAGAGAAGGTGAGGCAGAATGACTGTGACTTGACCCCATTCAAATTCCCTTACTGCGGTGCGAAGAAAGGTCGGCCAGTTCAACCGGAAAAGAGAAGTCATCCCATCACCACGCCTCTTCAGCACCTCTTACGCACTGCTTGGTTGAACAAGCCGATAATGACCCCCTAATTCCGCACCACCTCTTGCCTGGGCGCTACGGGAGAAACTGTATCGCCATTATTATAACGTGTTCCAACCCGCTCTCATTGGCTCGGCCACATACGATCCTTACCAGAATCGCGGGGACATGTCAACAAGAATGGGAGTCTTGGACTAGACCGGCCCGGCCATAGAAGATACTCTCCTGATCGTCCATGACTCGAATATATCGCAGCGTGAGATGTCGGGTCACGATCAACTGTCCTTTCAGCACTCCGGCGCTCGCTACGTTCATCCCGCAGGAGCGCTAGTTCCTCCGGAAAGCAGGATGACTGTACAATCGTCACGATTTCTATTCATATGGCCCAATCAGCTTCACCCATTGCAGAGCTCTAGTACTTTCTAGCGTTAGTACTTCTCAATCGCACCACGCTTAGTGCGCAGAGCGACACGCCTCGCGTGTGCTGCGGGAAAGGACGTGCACACTGCGAATCCGACTATGCCGTTACGAGCGCCTAGAACCTCCTGTATTCCTGACGCACAACGGCTTAGAACTTGATGCTCTCGAATACACTCCATGTACAGCAAAACCTATATCTCATACCAAAATATGTTTCAAAAACGGATAGTCCATCGTTCTTCAGCAGCAAGTTGGGCATTGTGATTCACCGCCGCTGACAAATATACCCCTCGCTCGGCGCATCAGACTGCACCCGTCTATCGACGTATCAGACGTACTCTTTCCTTATGTATCTAGGAAATCGTGGGTCTTCGTTCACATTCCGCCCGGGTATGGGTTTCTCCGTCGGCACACGATTGCATGTGTGTAAAGGCCGGTCAAGTGGAACAACTTGCCGTGTGCCGTATTACTACTTGAGAACATCTCGATGACTTCTAGGGTCATTCGGGAATGGACATTATGTGGAACGCGTAGACTGGCTTCCTGGACAAGGGTTATCCGACGAGCGGTGTGCAGAATCCGAGGAAACGTCATTTCGTTCTGATGTTGTACCGAGCAGCTGGTCATGCTCGTCATCGCTTCTTTGATGTTGATGAATGAGATTCGAAAACCCGATTGGAGAGTATAACCTCTTCCCGCTATTGTCTACCAACTCATCAGTAGATTATCACCAGTTTGCCAAATACTTAGATCCAGTGTTCAAGCTACCCTTTGCCGTGATCTTTTCGTAGGCTTGGCTGTACCAAATTACCGGCTATGTCAATATACTGGAGAAGACAGCAGGCAATTTTTAGCTTAGTATGGCGTGGTGTCATGAGTTGTTTTGCAGAAAGAGAAAAGAGAAACTGTTGTCTCAAGCGAGATGTGCGAACGGCGCCTTGAACACGTGTTATGCACGTGATGCCCATGGCTTCGTTCCTTGAGCGCGTCGACATCGCCCACACTACGCGTCGTCTACAACGACCTACGCACTCATGCCCCCCGCGAAGACAACACGATCTGCAAACACAACTCAAGCAACCTCGACAAGGAATAGAACAACAAGCGGCAAGACTGTGAAAAGCACAAATGCGAATTCTCAAGGCTCAGACGACGTTGACGCCCTTGCGGGGCGGATGACGGGCACCTTGCGGCTCAATGCCACTTCCTCTGTCGGCAGGAAGCCTACCAGAACGACATCGACAACTGTTAGGACGGAGAACCCTCACTCGAAATCTACAGCTGAGAATGTACCGGTGACTCCCAAGCTCGAACTGTCCCCTACTGAGCGTGGGAAGCACGCGATGCGCACAGTCAACAGCACGATGCAAAGTCTTGTAGAGGCGATCCAGAAGGGATGGAAGGCACCACACGCGCAGAGCAAGCCGACTGCTCCGATCAGATCCCGGGCACTCAACAAGCAGGAAGATAGTGGAGAGGGGGTCTGTACGCTGGAATCTATCACTTCGACTGCTGCCAAGTGCAGATCGGCGTTATCGAGTATGCGAGGGTTGAAGGATCAAGTAGATATCAAACCGGTCGATATTGAAAGAGCTGCTGTGAATGTTGCCGGGAAGCTTCTGGGGCTAGAGATGGTGCGTCGTACTTCAAAGTCTTGAGCCACCACTCAGTTGACCGCAGTGGACCCTTGTGCTCGAGTTCTTGACAGACTCGCGTCCTAGCGTCTTGGACCTGTATGAACACCTGCCTCTGAGTGCGAGGATCACAAAGACGTCAACACCTGCGGTGGGCAAGAGTAGGACTGGTCAACGTGTGCCCTCTTCCCGTTCTGTCGTCAAAGAGAGCACCAGCTTTGGCCAGCACTGCGAGCTCCTGTTATTTCCCACTCCCTCAGATCCCGACAATATCGACGTCGCTGCGTTGAACGTCATCGCCTCCAGTCAACTTTATGCATTGACGTCGCTGGTACACTTGGTCAATCCTGCATCTATCCGAGAATTATCACAAACCCTGGCTGCTCCAGGAAACATGCTTGACTTTGTCCCTGTTTTACAAACCCGCCTTGGATCAAAGTTCTATTCTAGTCTTGCACTCTCCACCTTCCGAGCGATCGCCACACGACTTTCATCGTCAGAGGCACATTCTCCAGATGTGCTGTTCTCCGTTCGTCTCTGGGCACTACGCTGCTTCATCCAAGCCGACGGAATAAACGGCAACGACTTTTGGGATCAAACCATGCGCTGGGCCGCGAGTTACCTGAAGACAATCCCATCGGGATCGAAAGATCAGGAGAAGGCGGCGTCTGCCCAGATAATGACTGTTTTCAGCGAGCTTGTTGACCGTGCTGGAGCAAGGCCTGATGGTCGGGACTTTGCTAACGGAGCTTCGTTTGGCAAGATGTGCGATTGGTGGATCAGTTTAGCGCGGCGTGTGAGTTCCTTCCTGTTAACAAAATGCCAGCAGTGCTTACACTGGACTCTCTCATAGAGCGGCAATCTTGAAATACTTACCACGGTCAATAACATACTCGCTTCTACATCCACCACCGCCACATCCATCAAATCCTCTTCCAATCTTGACACTCGAGTAGCTGCGAATGAAAGCCAAGGTATGGACGATGCCGGCATGTTACTCAGTAAAATATATGCACGTGTCTCGCATGTGGAAGCCCTTGTTAGCAAGCTTGCAAAGGATGGTGATGGTATGCTCTTACCCATTTCCTATTCTTTCTTTCTCATGCAAGATCCCTTCAGACAAAGGCGTGGAAGACCATCTAGATGCCATTTTGTCGGACATTCGTCACCTTCGTCGCCTGTATACATCTGGCGTTGACGGCGTTCATCGACTACAGCGAGAAACTGAGCGATTGCGCCATTCATGTGCCAAACTCTTGGAGAAGACCCTAGAAGCAAGTCTCTCCGGTGGACGTCTTCGCCCTGCTTGCATCGCAGTGTTGGAAAGTCTCATCGATGTTGCGGAGTCGACTTCAACCCCTGCCGATGGCGACTCCGTTCCGAACAAACCCAGCGCCGAATTCCAGAAGGATATGATGAGCGGCGCTTTAGACTCCTTGTTGACACTGGCACGTGTGGTGCTGTCTCCAACACAGCATCTCACGTATTCTCTAGCTCTAGGATACTTGGAACGAGCTCACAAGCTCACGACCAGCATTCCATCGGGGGAAACAGTTCAGTATTTGCGTTGTTTAGGTGCTGCTCATCAGAATGCAGCCGCCGTGTTGTATAAACACAACAAGGCAGAATTTGCCATCCGATTTGCAGAACAGGCCTATTTGATCAGCGTACAAATGTTCGAAGCTTCTGACGGTGCGAATAACGAGGGTTCTGCGTTACGCGAGCAACTTGGTCGACGGGCGGAGATACTTGCAAGCTGTTACTTGAAACAAGGAGATCGAAAGGTCGGATTGCTCGCTCTGGTTATTCGATTCTTTTGGCTGACAACATCTTAGCTGGCGTACAGATCTTATTGCGATGCTTTGTCTTGGATATCTTTCAACACAATCTCTGCCTTACAGTCAACCTTGGCCAAGGAATCCGTGTTTGCCAGCTTCGCAGCTCAGCCTACAGTATCCGCCCTCATTGAACGCGTAACACGACTGGCCGTATCAGACCTCTTGTTGCCCCCGAAAGAGGCATCCCTTCGTCATCAACTGGAAGGTCGCGCTGTTCCTACTGAAGTTATCGGAGGATTGCTTGAATATCAGATTCTTACTATGGACAATATGCTGCACAAACCGGAATGCCTCCCGGCTATAAGCAACATCTTGGACGAGTTGCTAAACTTGTATGCACCGGATATTTTCCCCATACGTCGCTCGAGGTAAGTGAAATTCCACCGGTTCTCAACAAAGTCTTCACACCCCAGCAGGGTCCTCCTACGAAACCTTGAACACCTGTATCATATTGGATCTAACAGCTCGGCCTTGATAGCAAGTGATATTCTCGAGGGATTTGTGGGAGAGAACAAAGCCAATGATGCCGGCCTGGCCGGGTATATTCCTCTGTACCAGGCATTTACGCACGTTTGGCTGGCTATACAGTCACATGGGAACGCCGATTCGCCCAGCATGCCTGCAGTTGTACAGCATACTGACGAGGCAGTTCGGATTTTCCGTCAAGTATTCATTCCAGGATCTGTTCCTAAACCTCGTTCTGCATCGCCAAAGTCTAGGAGCCTCGGCAAGGGGCCGTCAAAACCTCGTCCAGCTCAGACGCCCAAAACCCCTGCCAGAGGGCGACGTGCAGTGTCAACTAGTAAGCACGCCGGATCTCAATGGCAACAGGATCTTACAATTTGTGCCCTAGAAACCCCGAAGGTGACGACTTCCCTCACTTTGTCAAACGACCGGGCAACCATTACTTCTGCGGCACTCGACAACGTGGAGCGCCTCTACAAACACCTAGGTAACGAATACCGCTGGTCTCTCTGCAGACATTCTGAAATATACTCTCAGAGCTGTTGTCGGATTTGCTCAAGTTTCTTGTGCTTTCTTTCCAGCGGATTGACTTGTTGGAGATTATGCGACACTTCAACCAACATCGCATAGAGAGATCCCTATCATGTGATGGTACGCTAGCTGATCCCGATCTTACTACGCACCGGCTGAGAGGGAAATCTTCCAGAAATGTTACGCACCACAACAGAGCTTGCTTACGAAAATGCGAGACTAGGAAAGACTGGCCGAGCGAGTCATCTGTACGCTCAGGCAATGAACTGTGCATTGCACGACGACTGCACCACACCTTTGTCCGACAGCGCGAGGATATTGTACCTCTTGCGGTATGCCAGCTCTCTTGTGATCCACGGCAATCTGGAGAAAAGGTTGGTTGTCCTCAGATGCGGTTGGACGATTCTGTTGACTTTGGTGCAGCTCTAGTCTTTATCAAGAGGCACTAGAAACTGCTGCAGCGATGGAAACAGACGGACCTAATACTACTGTCGGCCGCATACGAACACGGACTTTGGTACTGGAACAGGCAGCGATAGCCTCTTCGGTCTATGCATTGATCAAAGACGAGCAGGTGCGTAAAGATCATGTTGCCTTGGTCTTGCACTAACTGTTTCCGCCGGCTACAAAGGATGATATGCCAAGTTGTCTGAACGCGCTAGAACAATCATTGCGTCTATGGAATCGTGCAATGGACAATGTGATGCGCCTCAACCCAAGCCACAGCCCACCACCTCCCAGTGACTTGGACAATCCGTTCGTTGATGACGACACCACCACGAAACCGAAGCAAAGTGCTGCCAAGATTGACACACGCAAGTGCGTGGCTCTGGACGGTTTGCAATGGCGCGTCGCCGCTGTAAGGTACCGGAACCACGTATTTCGCATAATCTGACGTGTCTGTGTAGGGCATGTTTCAGGCCTTGTTGTTTCTGGCCGAGTATCACTGTCGAGCAGGCGCACCACGGGCTGCGCTGCTGTACTTTGGAAAAGCCGTGGAAATGGCCGATGGCCTCGCTGCGCCTCTCCCGCATGGAACGGCCCTAGCTTTGCAAGAAGAATTGAAGCTGATGTGCGAGGATCCCGTCGGTGAAGGATTTTCGCGATCGGACGAGTTGTTGGGCCAAGTACGGCCATTCTTTCCACAATTAAATATCTCTGACTGTTCTCCTAGCTCCCAACTGCGGGATTGATTGAGATGCGCCGGATACAAGGGGATCAGTGCGTGAAGGAAGAGAACAAGGATCTGGGCCGGCAAATCTACGCATCAGCAGACACCATCTTGAAGGATCTAGAGAAAACCTACACGCTGGCCATGACCACACAGAAAACGTGAGCTGGGGCCGGGGAAGATCTGCATATGTACTTATGATCCACCTTAGCCCACTTAAAATTTCTCGCAAACGAGTGGAAAAGCCAGTCGCTGATGGTGAACTGGATGTTCTGCTGCCCACCCTGCAAGCCGCATTATTGCGTCAACAAGGTAAGCTCATTTCACCAATGAACTGTCCCAGGTCTAATGGGTATGCCGTCCAGTCTGGCTATTCAAGGAACCCTCCGAAGCCCCGGAATTTGAGGAGCTACTCACTCGACTGCTCTCCCTGCCTCCAACACGAAATCTGAAGGTGAAGTACATACATCGGCGGTGTAGAACCTCCACTCATTAGGACAGGCGGAAGAGAACAGTCTCCTAGGGCGAGTACATATGCATGATGCTTGCAATCAGTTTAGGAATGATCTCTTCTTGAGCTCTCTCACCGAATCAAGTGAGCTCACCTTCACTCAACTTTTTGCATACAACTGAGGCTAGATTAGTCATTGCTGTCCCGATGGGTATGATAAGTCAACAATGCTTGACGCCGTCTGCGTCTAGCATTCAAGTGCTTGATACACTGCATAAAGCCGAACAATACTTCGCTGACGCATTAGAATTGATGCTCTGCAAAGGCCGGATTTCTGAAACCCGGAGCGTGTCGGTCAATCTAGCATTGATCCACGCTTTCCAGACCATGCTAGGAAAAACGAGCTCAAATGGGCCTCGTCTGGCGGCCAGTCTGCTCGGTACGTCGAATCCATTTACCAATCACATGTGTCTGATACGCATCAGAAATGTGTGCCGGTACATCTTTACATCGTCAAATGTTGGAGAGCACAGACCTGAAGCTTCAGCCATCCAAGCATAGTGACGACTTAACCTGGCCATCGACCGCACCTAAGCATGTCCCGGCGAAGCAGAATCAGGTTCTACTTGGCTCGACAATATCTGACGAGGATATCTGTAGTGCAGATGACGACGATGAGGAAGATTTGGATAGGTCGTACTGGCAGGCGACTCGCGACAGATACATCGCGCTGCTTTCCGATGTCGGCCTTCAAGGTCCAGCACAAGTGGATGTTCTTCCTTCTAATTGGACTGTGATAAGCATCAACGTCACGGAAGATCAAAACACAATCCTCATCGCGCGTCACCGCTCCAGGCAAGAGCCCCTTATCCTTTGCCTTCCGCTCGATCGTCAAGGCAAACGGGATGGAGAAGACGATCAGTTCACCTTCCAAAGCGCAATTGATGAACTGGACAACATCATCGAAAATAGCAATAAGGGCATCTTGGCTGCGAAGGAAGTTGCTGGGAAGGATGCGACGGCATCCTGGTGGTCCGAGCGTGGTGAATTGGACAGGCGACTGGGCGAGCTGCTTGAGACCATAGAGTTTTGTTGGCTCGGTGCATTCAAGGTACGGTCGCAATTGCGATCAGTTTTTTTTTTTTACTGATGACCCTTCTAGACCGTGCTATGCGAGCCTCCCAGAGCCACAAAAGAATCTTTGAAATCTCTGCGAAATCGCCTTGAGAAGATATTCCAGGGTGCGATCAAAGCCCTTGACAAGAATTCTCCTGCCTCTCGAACTCGTCTTCATGACAACATCTTGGACTGTTTCGCGTCGTTGAGCACGAAGTGTAGAGATGAGGAACTCGAAGACATGATTTACTTCGTTTTGGACTTGTATCACTTCCATGGTATTCCAGTAGCCGTGGCTGAGATAGATGTAGACATGGTGCGTTTTCTTGTCATCCTATTGATGATTTGACTGATTGAGTCAACTAGCTCGTGGTAGACATCCGTTCTGCTCTCGAAGAATTTGCCGCAAACCCACCAGTGCTCTGTTCATCCCAGGCTGATCCTCACCTTTTCCTCATCTTAGACAAGAACGTACAAGGGATCCCCTGGGAATCCATCCCAATTTTACGCGGTCGCTCAGTCAGCCGTATTCCCTCCATCTCATTCCTGGTCGATCGCATCGAGTTGAGCCGCCATCGGCGCGGACCGGAAACCGAGCCCACAGCCAGTCCGAGGAAGATAGATCGCGTCGTGGTGGATCCCAGACGAGCTTTCTATATGTTGAATGTTAGCCGGGATCTCACTCGCACCGAACAGCAGTTTTCTCCATGGCTGAAGGAGATGGATCAGATTGGCTGGCGAGGGATAATTGGACGGCCGCCAATGGCGGGAGAAATGCTCCGAGCGCTGGAATCGTCCGAGCTTGTGCTGTGCGTCTATCGTGTTCACATTACAGCTGCGTCCATTGACACTACATAGCTACTTTGGTCATGGTGGAGGCGAACAATATGTCCGTTCTCAGCAAATTCGCAGACTGTCACGCTGTGCTTCCGTGATGCTCTGGGGTTGTTCATCGGGCGCTTTGCGATCAATGGGAGAGTTTGATCGATTCGGTACACCTCACAATTACATGCTTGCTGGCTGGTAGGTCATTAAATTCTTACGAGGGTCCTTTTTTGATGAGTTTTGCCCAGTCCCAACGTCGTAGCAACTCTCTGGGATGTGACAGATCGTGACATCGACCGGTTCTCCGATTCCGTCTTCAAGAAGATGCACCTTGACCGTGCACATGTGGAGACGTGGTCGGCCAGTCAGCCATCAATGACGTCCATCGTTGCCGCCGTTGCGCAGTCCCGAGATGTCTGCAAACTCAAGTACCTGAATGGCGCTGCTCCCGTCGTTTACGGGATTCCTTACTATCTCTGATGTATATCACTGAGGCATCGCACTGTAGATTAGCAGATATCTAACCGGAACCTCTCCGTGCGCCTCGGAGGCCGCACGGATTATTTTGGATAAGGATCAGCCATTGCATTCCCAGTCTGTGAAAGGGGGAGTGCGAATGAGCACTCCTGACCCCACCGTCACGGTATTTCTTATTCCGGGAAGAGAGACTCCCGCCCTTCAACGTCCAATGTCTAGTCATTTCCCTGTTACGTCTTGACAGCGCATGATGGGATCACTCGGCGGTAGCCGAACGTTGCCCATGACACAAACATAGGAGAGAACATGATAGCCGCCAACAACGTAACAGAATCGATCAGTGTTGCTGCTCAAGGATGTGTTCACCTCGTAAAAGCGGACAGTGCATGCTGTTCCCCGTGGTACTGTACAGGGTATCGGGTAGGATAAGCTGAGCTGAAATACATGGAAAAATACGTTGAAGTCCTTAGCAACGGATCCGGGCCAACATGCGGTGATTGCTGGCAGATGGCGGTGCTGAGCCGAACTGAACACGTTAGAGGCGGTGGTGTAGGCCCTGTCAGGGGTGGTGAGCACGATGCAGACGGTGAGGGTATGAATACAACATCCAAATGAAACGACGACATCCAACAACTTGCTCACCGCTGACTGTCGACGCCCTCTTGTTGTGATCGGACGACCTCTAAGCAAAGGCCGAGCCACCTGGCTTCTCTTTCAGAAGCGCTGACTTTCGACATACCCTTGACATTCAACTTTACAACATACCCCACAACGACCATCCGTACTTGATTCTTCATCCTTTCTACACCTTTCCTCAACCAGACCTCTGTATCATGGCTTACTATGCAAACGGACTACCTCGCAGTATACGACCGCCAGTAGTACCCCCAACACCCCCGCCGCCGCCTCCTGTCATCGTCCAGGACGATCCCTACAGCTTCCCCCAGGCAACGTACAAACCTCGAAACGACTCTTTACCCCCAGTACTTCCACCTCATCCAGTAAACTGGTCTGGCGATGCCGAGGCGCGATTCGATAATGAGAGCCTTCTGAACGATGACAGCTGGGCTGCCCAGATGGTGTCGCCCAAGCCCCAGAGGTTGCCAGGGGGATCTACAGACGTGCGCAGCCCTCTTACTAAACATTGGCGCAGATGCTAATGTTCATGTCATTTTCTCGGCGATGTTATCTACAGGCTGCAAGGAAACTAGAAGCGGCCGTGACGATGCCCAGTCTCACTACGCCTGCCATCCGTCAAGTTTCGGACACGCTGCGGCCTGTCTCAACCTACATGCCACAAGGAGCATATTACCCAGGCGGGTTTGTCCCTCCTGGACCTGGAAGTAGACGATCACCATCTCCCTATACGCCCGGTATGCCGATGTCCCCTCAACCGCCAATGAGGATGCCACTGCCGGCACCGGCGTCGCCTAACATCCCTCCCCCTCGCCTGGTAAATTCGATGTCCGCTGGCAACCTTAACGCCATGACACAGCAGATACATGCGTTGTCTCTCGAGAGGTCTCGACCAGTGACCGCTCCAGCACAGCACAGACGCGGAGCGTCCTCAACTTCTTCCAACGCTCCGCTCGTCGCTGCCCTGCCAACACCGGAGGGGCTCCAGAGGTCGGCACCGAACGAAGGATCAGATCCAGACATCGCCCTCTCCTGGATCCAATCGGCAATCCTTCTCTCTACGCTTACCCCTCCTTCCGACCTCTCTGCCCAGTCATCCAATGGTGGACCAACGATCGGAACGATCTTGCCATTGGCGCTCAGCATGTTACAGAAGATCGCAGCCGGGCCGTCCCCGCCTGCTGTCGCGTACTTCTTGCGTGGCACCCTCGAATCCTCCGGTGCCCACCCTCAATTCTTCGAGCGCAACCCTCGCGCAGCATTCAAGGACTATGAGAAAGCTGCTCGTGCAGGATATGACGCAGCTTGGTTCCGCCTCGGGAGGGACTACGAGAGTGTCGACGACCTAGACAGGGCAAGAGACTGCTTCGAAAGAGGCGTGAAGTCAAATGACAGGAGCTGCTTATACGTGCGTGCATTTCTGATCGTTTTTATGCATATACTGATGCATATATGCAGCGAATGGGTATGGCGAACCTCCTAGGCCAACTCAATCTACCATCCAACCCTCCTGTCGCCTTTCCGCTTCTCATCCGTTCTGCCTCTCTGGCAACATTGGAAGTGCCGCAACCACCCTACGTTCTGGGCATGATCTTGCTCAACGAACTTCCCTCAATCTCGAATCTCCCCCTCGCCCTACTCCATACTGCGTTGCCCGACCCATCCGTCACACTACGGCAGCACGCACTGGCGCTCATCCAGCGATCTGCATTCCTCCACTTCCCACCGGCGCAGTACAAGCTCGGCTATGCGTACGAAAATGCTCAACTCGGACTGCCGTACGACCCAACGCTGTCGGTGCGCTTCTATTCGTGCGCATCACAAGGCGGTGAGCTCGAGGCGGACATGGCGCTGTCCAAGTGGTTCCTCTGCGGCGCGGAAGGGTATTTCGACAAGGACGAAGGTCTTGCACGGACTTTCGCCGAGAAGGCCGCCCGGCGTGGACTGTCCAGCGCGGAATTCGCAATGGGCTACTACTGCGAAGTCGGTGTCGGCGGTCCGAAGAATATTGAACAAGCACGCAAGTGGTATGGCAACGCGGCGAAGCACAACAACCCGGACGCACCGGCCAGGCTTGCTGCGCTCTCCAGCGCCCAGCCCGAAGGGCTGTCCAGAACAGACCACGAAAGTCTGACAAACTCAACACTGATCCGCAGCAGGACGCTAGCGCGGGAGCGTTCCATGTCCGAGGGCAAGACAGCCACCGGCGGGCGGAAAAAGGAGGAAGAGGCCTTGGCCGCCGCAAGACGCGCCTCGCTGCTCCGGTCCTACCAGACCGGTCTAGCGTCTGTGAACGAAGCCGAGGGTATCTCAGATAATGAAGATCATCGCGGTTCCATCGCTACGTCACTTTCGTCCTCGAGTTCTGTTGCCGCGGCTATACCACCCTTAGCGCCATCAAGGACTTCTTCACCAGGGTCGTCCCGGCCTACAACCCGACAAGGGCGCAAGGTCTCCCCCAGTCCACGCCCCGAGTCTATTGCGATGCCTTCTCTGGGACCGGCTTCCCTCCCATCCACCCCGAATGCGCTACCAAGTCAACCAAGTCAACCAATCCCCCAATCAGCCCCTTCTAACGTTGTGGAAACTATTCATGGACGTGGATACAGCCTCTCAGAAACCATCCTCCCCGGACCTGCGCCCCTGTCCACCCCTAACATTCCAGGCACTCCTGGTTCTGCCGTGCCACCAAAGAAGGGCCCAGCCACGTTCGAGGAGATGGGCTTCTACAGTCAGCCTCTAGATCAGCAGAAGTGCGTGATAATGTAAACAAAGGACTAGAGACTCTGCTGTATTCCTATATCCACACCTTCCTAATTCAGTCCATTCTGTACGCTATCTTTACGAGGCATGGGTTACGGCCCGCGTTGTCTGCGAACAAACGACGAGTACAACACATGGTGCATTCGGAGGAATAAGAGTCCGTATCGTCTGCGTCACAGTACAGCAAATCGACAACATGAACAGGGTTTCGATCAGGCTGCGGTACGAAATTGGCCCTATACCTCACTTCTTTGTGATCCTTTCCACGATCGGCATTACTTGCGTTCCTCATAATCGGTTCCAGGGGGGTCAACAAACCACTTCCCGCCCGAAGAGTCTTAGGCGTAGAAGGGTCAGGACATACAAAACAAACAAACAAATTGGTCCTACACGCCGCATCACTACGCTCGGTCAGATCGAATTCTGCAGAACTCCAGTGAGCTTTCGGTGCTGCGTCTAAGTAGAGAATAGAGTTTTAGCAGGTTTAGCACTGTCCTGTGGAGGCGAGGATTACAGACCGTCAGCACGAGGATGAGAGGGAAGCGCATGGGCTCCCACAAGGAGCAGAGCGATGACAGCGAGCATCATTTGGAGCTGCATGATTGGGGTGTGTAGACAACGGATGAGACGAAACAACGGCTAAGACTTGGTGATTTATATGCGAGCTCCATGGTAAAAGGATGATTTCTTGCCGGTGTGAGCATGTGTCCTACTGTGCCGATGGTGTTCGGGTCGATATGAGCGAGGTCGAGGCACCTTCATGCCGAGAAGAACAGAGCTATGTTTGGCCATAGGTGTATGTGGTTAGTATGTCGCACTCTTCGAGATGCAGACGCAGTCTTGCGCGATCTGACGCACGTCCATTTTGGGAAAGATATGACTTGACAATGTCTGTCGCATTCCGAATCATTGTTGGAGTCTGGTTCTCTAGGGACTGGGCTCGTTGCTACCGGGCTGCCAGCACGTCACTCGGGAAAAGAAACCCATTCAGTCACTTGGTGATATTCATAGTTATGACTTTGAACTTTCAACAACGAGAAGTCTTTGGGCAGAGTCAACCAGAGGATAGACTGCTTCCTGTAGGAGTCGTTGTTTCCTCACCTTTTAACTGACCTTTCTAGGTTCCGGCCATGCTGTACCTTCCAAATCCACGTGCTCACGGATTTCTGCCGACGGAAGTCCTGCAAGAATGCGGAACAAAACCTCGCTGCTGGCACGTTCTACTCGATATATGAGCAACCGTCAAGACCTGTGCCTAGGGCTACACAAGAAGATATACAGCTGTATCTAGTTATAGCGTACAATAAATTATCAGAACCTCCCCCCTTATAGCTAGTGTCACATGGGTCGTCTAGTATTGACTTCCGGGTAGTGCCACACATTCAATCTCGATACATGCCCCCAGCGGCAGCGTCGCAACACCGATGCAAGTCCTGGCGGGAACCACCCTGAAGTACTGATTTACGTTAGACAGCGTACTGTGGTCGAGACGTGTTCAACACTTACTCGAGCATAGACCTCGTTCATTGGACCGAAATCCTGTTGCATGTTTGTCAAGTAGATATTGACCTTGACAATCTGCTCGAGAGAGGATCCTGCTGCACGGAGAACCTTAGCTAGGTTCTCTAAGGCATATTGCTGTTCCGAATCAAGGCCAGATCATGAACGCATGTTGTGGCTTACCGTCTGGACACGGACTCCGCCAGGTGGCAATTGATACCTGTCGTTGCAGCCAATGCTCCCCGAGCAAAAGATCAACCCCGTTCCTGGGTCGACAGCAGCATGGCCTAAGCAATTGTTGAGTCAGCTCATCGTGCAAAATGTTGAAGATGTCTCGCGCACAAAAGACCGGCAAGGTCGGGACCGCATCGGGAGCGTAGATGACTCTCTTCGTCGCTTCTTCTCTGGCAGGCATCCTGATGGTTGGTCGGAACAGTTTTTGGACTTCAGTAGGGCTCAGCATGTTGATACAGACGTCGGTGGGTATTGATGCATACTTACTACTCACAAGGAGGTGGTAGTTATAGGCAGAGAAAGAGGTGAAGGAACAAGTGCGTTGAAGAGGACAGCGCGTCATTTTTTCGGCCATGCGGCCGCACTACCAGAACGCAGGGTGTTGTATCCCGAAGCAGAACGGGCACGGCCACCAATTGCAATTTCATTGCTACAGAACAGACGGGAACATAACATAAGACTATCAGTCGGAGGTCTACATAGAGCGTAACAGAACAAGAGCGGTTCGCACAGGGACATCCTGTATTATACGGTATGAAGGATGGTAACGACGTCATATCCCTTGTCCACCGGCTCGGGCGGCATAGGAGCTGATGGTTGAGCGTGTCCATTACTTCCATCATTCTCTTCCTCTTCTCTTATCAAGCTCGGGGCGGTGAAAGAGTTTCGATACGTTGATAGGTCGCGGCGCTTGGTGGTATCCTTTGAGTCCTCAGAAACTGATTCAATTGTAGTGCCTTCGCTTCGTTTCGTTCGTTTCGTTGATACGTAGCGTGTCCCAGTGACCAAGGTCGGCGGTTTCGGCGTATCTACGTCGAGATCTTTCTTGGTTTTTGAAAATATACGATATAGAGATGTTACAAGAACCGGTACGCTGCAAATGGTAAGCGAGAAGGCATCTTCGAGCATAGATGCGAAGATCTCCCGGATACCTCCGGCGATAAACACGATTACGTCTTGGACCACGGAGACAACGGTGATGAGGAACGACGTAGAGAAGAGGAGCAACAGCCTCATCCTCTGAGCCTTATCCATAGAACTCTTGGAGAGCAGCCAGACCGGGACGACAACAAGGGTTATATCCGCGAAGACATCGACTACACGCGACCGGCAATCAGAAAAAAGCCCGACACGAGGTGAAAAACATACAGCAGATTTCTGTTATAGCGCGGCCTTTTCCGAGATCGCACTGAGGTGGATGAAATTCTTTCCATCCCGTCTCATGCTCGCAGATCCAGTACATCTCTCCGTATAGGAAAAGCAATAACCCTGCGAAGAGAACCGCCAGAGAAGCCAATGCCCTTTTCTGGACGGAGAATGCCGCGATGCGGACGTAGGTGAGCAGGATCGATATTCTTGCTGTCCACACAACACCATGAAAGCACATTCCGCCGGCATAGTAGGCGAATATTTGCGTGAACTGCGTTGCTTCGGCTGTTGTGTCGGTCTCAGCGGGAAGTTTCACCGAGAGGCCTTAATGCACCCACGAGGTGGTTGAACGATGAGGTAGAAGAAAACTATCATGATCAACATGATACACAGGGAGAGGAAGCAGACGCCGTCATCCCATCCGAACCTTGCGGTTCTCACTCTATCGACCAGCCGAAAGGAGGATGTCAAGACGGCGATACCGACGAAGATCGGTAAGACAACTGAGGGAAATAATCAGAGGAAGCCGGCGGTGCATCACGTCACTCACTGTCCAGGTCAAGCAATGTGGGGGGTGGCGGTAGGGACATCCTTCAGACACCAATGGAAGCGTTTGATGCTCCGGGCCGATCGGAATACCTCTCGAGAGGGGATCAAGCTCGAAGACCAAAAGTCCAAGACGGCCGCATTAGTGAGCGTATATATGTTGACAGCCACGCGCCAGTCACATTGAAGTCGAGGTTGGTGCGCGGTATACGGCTTTGTCGCATTGCCGTAAGCTAATTGATTGCCGGATGTGAGGTACAATGAGATGAATGCGATGGCATGGCATTTACAGATCAAAAAAGTATGAAAAACCCTGGAGTATTCATGTAGAGTATGGATGACTGGGTCGTGTCGCGGTGCCGTGATCTATAATTGAGCGCAAGCACATGTAGAACTCCTTGACGATGCGTACAGTGCCCCCGGTTGCGCTAAGGATTAGCCTAAAGGTGGAGAGCAGACAAGAGATTTTCAGATGCTGGTTACTTCGTATGAGGCCGCGGTTAAAGCGAAGATTCTGCAGAGCGAAGAAGCACACGTGTTCAGGAACTGCGCAGGCTCTGAACAACCAAGACGGACTTGCCTGGAGCACATCGAGACGAACGTATGGCACTCAGACGTGCCAGCAGTACGATATCGGGCGGCCAGTCCCGGGACACCAATTTTGAGGTATGTGACCGAGATATCACATGATACCACGTGGACGAGACTTCGAAGAGAATACGCAGCGAATAGCACCTGTGCGGATTTCCCTGATGGTGCGAATAGCTGAGATACGACGAACTCGGTGATCTTGTTGGAAGAGGGTGGAATAGGTCCGATCTCGGCGCATCAATCCTTCCGACGGCTTGCGCCTCCACGAGAGCGATACGCTGAGTGCTTATCGTAAGCTATCCGCAAAGATGAAAAAATATATACCAACAATGAAGGAAAGGGTTTGCCGTTCTAGGGTTTGAGACGTCAGGAGTGAAAATAATTCACTCGTGAATGACTCCGACTTCCAACCTCCACTGTTTGTTCATTCCGGCGTCAATCCGTTCCCCGGCGTCACCGAGCTTGGCAGGATGCTTCTTTCGTCGATCACCGCTGAAGCTCCGAATTCATCGAATGCACGGGGACTCTTCAATACAAATTCTCGAAAATGATGGGCTGGATCACAGCAAGAGTTCATAGTTGAGCTGCACTGGTGGTCAACGTGCATCAGGCATCAGGGCAGAATCCTTCCGCTTCGGCTGACTTCCCGTTATTGCCCTTTCCCTATCACGTGACTGACCCTTGCACGGACCGCCGCCGCCGAAAGGTCCCGCTGAAGTCAATGGCCGCGTTTGGAAGCCGTACGAAATACGGGTTGCGCGATAACCACAACATCTAGCGTTATCGCGTTGTTTTTCTGGCTGGTTGTATACTACGGAGTGGGCTCTCTATTCCCAATGCCTTCTTTCGGTCAAGCACAAATGAACTCCATGTGTCTTCAATTCAGTTCAAAACGACTTCTCTTAATTTTTCTTCTGGAAAAGTATTCAATATGGCGTCCATGGATAGAGACACCTTTGTACCTATAAGAAGGACCAAGAGATTGCTGGGTATCTGATGCTCGGCTTCGCTCTTCGCTTTACCTTGGCCCTGTTTCTGGTCTAGACTGAACGATTAAGGCACGATGTCTATCGCGGCACCAGGAGCGTTGTCTGTTGAAGATGCCGTAAGACTCATCCTCCGCCGAGCGTTTGGGCTGGCTGAGAATATTTGACCAGGGCAATCCAAAGATCTTCACAGATGAGAAGAAGGAACACGAGCTGCTTACTCCCGCCCACTATGTTTGTGAGTGTTCTGTGTTTGAACAGCTCGGTGCACAGCCCATCATTTCTATCAGATCGGAGGCAGAAGCCGCGCTTCGAGGACTTCATCTTCTACGCACAGGCTCAGCGCGAGTCAGAGAATGAGAATCAAACCATAGAGACGGGGGAGAAGTTCGGTCCGTTCGGCCTCTGGAAGCATCAGGATGCCGGTCTCGCCGGCACCACAGAAACCGAGAAGGAGAAGATCGACTCGCCTGCTCCAGTCGCGGACTACGATTTCCAAACCGACGGCTTGACTGATGACGAGCGTGATCGTGTCAATGCATGGCGTGCCATGCGCATGACCTCCTGGGCTGGCGCGTTCTATCTCTGCACGACAGATATCTTGGGTCCTTTCAACGCTCCGTATGCGTTCCGTGTGAATGGTTATGTTCCCGGAGTACTGCTCTATTTCTTCAGTGAGTCAGCTCCGACGTGCCTAGCATCGCTCTTCTGACCATAATATAGTGGGTGCCCTAGCCTTCTATGGCGGTGGTATGCTATGGTTCCTCTACGTAAAGTTCGACTCTGCACGATTCCCCGTAAAGAGCTAGTGAGTCCATTCCACAGAAGCATTACGGGGTTCGTTAACTAATCCTCGCTAGCGCCGATATCGCTGAACGCGTCGCGGGTCCGTATTTCCGGTCGTTTGTGACGTTCCTCGTGTTTGTGCACATGATCGTCAACGTCGGCAACACCTGCCTTGGTAATGCCCAAGCTCTTGTCCAGATGGCCAAAGGCAACCTCTGTTTCATTGTCGCCGTCGTGATTTGGATCATCGTGTATGTATAATGCAAAACTAGCCCACTCTTGTCTAACGGGTTGACACAGCGGCTTCGTCATTGGTCAGATCCGGACGTTGAAGGCGTATGGTTGGCTAGCGAATCTTGCTGTCTGGCTCAACTACCTCCTTATTTTCCTGTCCATGGGATTCATCGCTCACTCGGACCCGAACTACGCTTCCGCCAAAGCTGCATATGGCATTGAAGCCGGTCCCGTAGTCAAGGATGTCTTTGCGACGTACCCCATCTATGAACGTGTGAACGGTGTCATGTGAGTGATTAAGTGTGAAAGGTGAGCACTACCTGACCGTGGGGTTAGGAACATCGTCTACGCTTATGGTGGTGCTACCATCTTCCCTCAGATCATCTCGGAGATGAGGCGTCCGATGGACTTCCTCAAGGCTATGTCTATTGCGCAGGTTGTCATCATGACTGCCTACATGATGTGTACGTGTCTGAAGGATGGTGACAAGTGTAACCACTGACGCAGTCAACAGACGGGCTGTATGTCTACTCGTTCCAAGGCCAGTACACCCTGCCTCTGGCGTATCAAGGTGTCGCCAACTATCCTCTGCAGACCGTCGCGTAAGACAATCCGTTTACCTCAGCTATCTCAGCCATTGATCTGATGTCGCATTAGGAACGTCTTCTCCCTCATCTCTGGCATCATCGCCGGCGGTCTCTACGGAAACATTGGTCTGAGTAGGTGTTGGTATATACGCAAGCGGGTGGAAGACTGACTATAGCCCAGAGGTCGCATATGTCAACATCGTTGAAGATATGCTGCACGGTCCGCCCCTGATCTCGCGCAAAGGCCGCATCACCTGGACCAGTGCGTATCTTCCCTCTGCCCTCAAGAATATCCCTGACCATTCTCCCAAGTCTCCGTCTTCGTCTTCTGGGGCGTAGCGTTCATCATCGGCACCGCTATCCCGCAAATCCAGAACCTATCCGGCATGGTAGGCGCGACGACCAACGTGCATTTCACTTACTCCTTCCCTACCGGCTTCTACTTTATTTACAGCGTGATGTCCGCTGCTGCCGTTGCAGATCCCGCGTACGTGCCGGGACAGGCACATCAGCGCGTTGACAGCTGGGGCCAGTGGAGCAGGTGGAAAAGGGGCCTCTTCTCAGGCTCGAAGAGGGAGGTGCTATTCCGGTGGTTCAACTTTACGCTGTGTCTGGCTGCGCTCGCGCTTGGCGGGATCGGGATTTATGGAAGCGCGGAGAGTATTAGGGCGAGCTTCAAGGCTGGGTCTCCGAGTATGTGCCTCAACTCCTCGCTGTAGCTCTCTACTAATCACACGGACAGCGTCCTTCTCCTGCGCTGCGCCGGTCTGAGCGTGTCACGAATGGTTCAAGAATGATGTGTGGTTGTATAGGAGGATGATAATCTATGATCACGTCTCTATGTTTATGCGGTATTATACAAGTTGAACCTGGAACTTTAGAATGGAGTATCTAGTCAGGGAGATCTATTGTCGTTAATTCACCTCCTTCCTTCGACCGCGGAATCCACCGGTGATATCCTCCTCCCCTGCTTCAGCATCTTCGAACTCGTCGTCATCATCCTCTTCCTTCTCCTTCTCTGCTTCCTCAGCCTCGTGCCTCACCTCCGCTACATCCTCCACGATCTCTAATTGCACCACCCAGAACACCTGCCCATCCTGGGGGTCCACGCCCTTCGCCGGCCGACGCATGCACACGAACCGTACCGGCTGGCCGTCCCAGTACCGTTTGAGGTCGAACTTCAGTCCTCCGGGGAGAGCGAGGCACAAGTCCGGGAAGGAAAGGAACGAGTGGCAAAAGTCGCCTGTGATGATATCCTGTCCAAGATTAATGATCAATCCGAGCAACGGGCTGCGAAAAGGGTGACATACCTCGGGGCCGAGTATGACTGCCCGCCTGTTCTCCGCTTCCTTATACCAAGCCTTCCGTTCCTGTGCACCTTCCAGTCCTTTCCTAGGAGTAGCAGTTCCGCTTCCTGGCAGAACACCATTACCGAGCTTGGGCGTGCTTCTCCCACTAGCATAACCGCTCCTAGGCGTGCTCGTCCCGCTCCGGGGGGTGGACCAGCCGCTCCCTCCACCGCCTAACCCACGGATGACAGCTGGGAGCTCCCACCCGCCCTCGCCGAGTACTTCGCTCGGGTGGCGTTCTTCTGGCAGGGAGCTGCCCCGCGCGTGACTCAGGAAAGGGAAGCTCGAGATGGCGGGGGAGAGCGCCCAGGGTCGGGGAGCGTACAGGTCGTGTGTCAGCGTTGGGTCGACGAGGGACATGAAGGACATGACGGCGGATGTGCCCCAGGGGAGTATGATGGGGCGATCGAATATCTGAAGGAAGTTAGGGTTGAACTGACAGCATAAGAAATTGATAATGCGCACGTTACCGAACATGAGGTCGTCTGCTGATATCTCTTCCAAGAACCTGCCTGCCCAGGATCAGCAGCATCGCCTGCCAACGCATTGGCGTACTCACCCTGGAATGCGACGCTCCATGTCTTTCCTTTCCTATCCGGTCTCTCAAAATACTTGCTCTGGGGCTTCTCTCCTCGAGGACCGATGTACCCCTTGAGCTGTACGGCGACACGGCCCTCGAACTGTGGTGAGGATATGTCGACCCATGTGTTGGTGTTGACTGGTATGAGTGATAGGTTTTGTACAGAAGTGCCTGCATATACTCTGAGATGTACCATTGTTGGTGGTGGTTGAGGAGGAAGAGAGGAAAGACGGTCGTGTGCCACTTTCTATTCTATGAGAACAAGTGAGAATGTTTGGCTGTGTCGGTAATGAAACGGTTTCTTTCATCGCCTCAAACGTGAGTCACGTCACGTGGACTGCCTCAGTCACACCAGTGCTGAGTATTTGTAGTAGAAGTGCTTAGCAGAACACTCTGCTGTGTCAAGGACAATATCTCTCCAAGCAGGAAATTTTTGCCCTTTCATTAACAATCATCTTATGGGCCTGCAGCCTGATCGGTCTCGTTAGTGGGATGATCACTAGGAAACCCTTGCCGTATGAGGGGAATCGTTAATGTATCGAGTCATTATTGAGGGATATGACCATAAGAATAATATGTTACAACCAAATCATTCCAATATCCACCTCAACGGCCCTATGAAGACTCTGGTATCTTGTACTCCGACGCCGGTCTTACTCCCAATCCCGACTGTGACGGCATCAGCTCATTCTCAACACAGCACACAACCATTACGTACCTTTTCATAAACCATCTCCACAGCCTTCATATTCCCCACCGTGTCCTCGCCCGTCACCCACGTCTGCGGATCCTTCCCCGTCACCTTGTCCACAAAGGCCTCCAGCTGATAGCGGTATGTCGTCCACCACGACTCTCCCTTCCCATCCTTGCCGAAGGTATACCCCCGCTCTGTCCTCTTCCCTGTGGGGGAGCGCACAGAAATAGAGTGGTAAAAGAAAGGCATGACGAAGTTGTTCATCGACACCTCGCCCTTCTCGCCCTTTGCGTGAAGGAACATCTCTGGCATCCCCGGCCACACGCCCCACGCCCAAGGCCTCGCCAGATCAACGACACACTCGGCTTCTGGTCCGCGTTCCTCTCCCTCCCCAGGAGGGAACAAGAAGGTGAACTCCATCCTCCTGTCCACCTTCGGCTCCGCCGGGCCGTACAAGACAGGCTCTGCGCGGAGCACCTCTGTCGGCTCCCGCCCAGAAAGGTATCGCACAGCGTTGGTGGCATAACATCCCATGTCCATGCCCGCCCCCCCGCCGAGGGACAAGTTCCACCTGATATCACCCGGTCCACCGATCAAACCCCGGGGGACAGTCATGTGCGCTGTAAGATGCTGAAGACGGCCCAACTCGCCAGAGTCCAGGATCTGCTTCAGTTTCTGCACAGCGGGGTGGAACCTGAGGTGCGTAAGCCAGCACCGAGCATAAGACGACGGTGGACAAACCTGTAGTGGAACGCCTCTAATACGAGGAGACCGCGCTCCCTCGCCAGAGCGAAGATGCGCTCTGCCTCCTCCGCAGTGTCCGTTGCGGGCTTCTCGAGCAGCACATGTTTTCCCGCCAGGAGTGCCTTGATCGTCCATTCATAGTGAAGTCCATTAGGCAGCTATTTGGTACTCAGCGCAGGGCTACTTCGAGCACAGATCACGCACAGGGTTATACACGACATCCACCTCCTCGTCCTGCAAGACCGCTTCCCATCCCTTGACAGCCCTCGGTACGCCCCATTTTTTGGCATACTTCTGCGCCTTGTCAAGGTTCCGCGCTCCGACGAGGACGACCTCTGCCTCGGGTGAGCTGCGCGCGGCGAGGATGAGGGCGATGGGGGCGATGGCTGCTGCCCCGAGGATGCCAAAACGGAGGGGTTGGGAGGACTTGGGGGACGTCGGGGGATAGAAGATGCTCAATGCGCGGGAGAGGATGGACATTGCTGAATGCTGATGGGAGAAGGGAAAGGAACGCCAGCGAGTTCAACAGGGACATCCTATTCATCAATAAGGAATCGTTCCTGTTGGATCTCACCAAGATAGACATCCTTATAATCAATTGCATGTGCATAAGATGCGTACAGTATAGTACATGACAAGTCTCCGACTTCGTTTTGGCCCAGTTTAATAATATATTTTGAATATGTGCACGACTCATGTATACTCGTCTGCGCTGTACCTAGATACATCTCCATGTAATCAATTGCCTGCTGTCTTCATGACTACTAAGCTTTATATATTGTGCGTGCGTATTGGACACGGTTCCATTTTAGCCCAAATTAATATAGATTTTATATATGTGGGTAACGTATACCAGTCGTGTAGCACCAATATCAATATCCCCGACATATATACCATGGTGCCCAAGGCACAGGCACTGCGTTTGACAGCGCCTTGAAAACAATTGTCGACCTCTGTGCCTAGGAATACAAATTATGTGTACATTCTATACATGTATAGCTGCATGCATACAAACCTTCTGTCCCAGCAGTGTACTCTTAGGCAGTGGTGACTTTAGCATGCTTCGTTTGTTGACAATGCCCTCCTCGCACAGCAAGTTTGCCAAGTACGACCTATAATTTAATAGCTATCTGCCAAAAGACCCGGTATCGCTACTAGGAGGGGTTTGTTACAGCAGGCAAAGGAAGAAAAGCGACGACGCGTGCATCACGGGAACCGGAATGACGAGAATGAGAGCCAGAGAGAGAGGAACATACGGGACCAGGACATGCGAAGGACGACGTGTATTTCGATGTGCGATGCTTGACTGGCTCGTAGCCGTGAGTAGAGCGGGCCAGGACTGAAAAGCGCGGACAGAGTATGACGCGAGACGAGAAGAAAACCCGGGACCGGAAACGATGCAGTGGAAGAGTACGATCTTGAATGCGAGGCATGATGCGAATCGAACGATGAGAACCGAGACCAAAGAAGACACGCTGACCATCACGACCGGAGCAGAAACGGAAATCATGAGGGAAATGCCAGTCCCGAGACGTTATTTTGGAATAGGGAGGGAAAAGTTGAGAAGAAAACACAAAACTCGCCGCCCGAGACCGTCGACAGACAACCCACACAAGCCCAAACCACGAAACCCAAAACTCAAGAAAGCAAAGGATGCCATCAGAGTCCATCACGCCCTTCCTCCAGGGTTCCATGAGGAACGACGATCGCTCTTGATCGTAGGCGGTGCGAGTCCTTCGAAGGAAGAACGGCCCCACACATTTGGCACGACAGGTGCTGCTATTTCCTCCTCTATGGTAGCCGGTATCTTGGTCGCAGGAGGCGTGGGAGTCTCGAGCATGTTACTCGCGGTGGACGTCTGTGACTCATCGTGCGCTGCGCTCCGTGGAGAAACCTTAGAAGGCACCTCCTTGACACTCAGGTTGCTCATCATGTCAGAGAGGCCCAGACCTAGACCCAACTCGCTGGAGGCAGGAGGCACGTTGATGGCCCCGACGTCTCCGAAGGCAAACCTGACCTGAGAGGGCGCGGCAGACACAGCAGCAGAGCTTTCCGTAGTGTCGCCCGAACTGGAGGCAAGCTCGCTACCCTTCCCGGATTCGACATCCCCGTTTGCAAGTGCCGCGGAGAGAGCGGCAGCGAAGTACGACTCGTGTACACCCGTCTTGTCGGCTACCTCGTCGCTGCTCATGTATGGTGGAGCCATGTCGTTCAGTTCCCCCGTGCTGAAGCTTGAGAACGGTGGATAATTCGGATTGTAGCCAGTGATAGGCGGCGGTGACGCGGGAGACTGAGGCAGATGCAGGGGAGCGCCAGGCGCAGGATTCCAGTTGCCTGAATGGAAGAAGGGGGATCCTTGAACAGGAGAGAATGGACCGATACCCGGAGAAAGGAAATGAGGATGCAGGGGAGGTGTTTGCTATGACAGTGTTAGAGCGGGAAGGCTATTCGATGCTCATCAGTACTCACAACTTGCGGGTGAAACATGAAGCCAGGCATCGTGGGGGTCATCGGACCTTGCGTTATGAGCGGTGACAATGGGCCACCCAAGTAGCCCATTCTGGCAGGAGGAAGCGAGATAGGTCCAGGATGGATCTGGCCGCCGCTTCCTCCAACACTCTCGTGCCTGGAGCCCGTACGAGGCGGCAAGATCGGGGAACCAGGAGAGAGAGGTGCCCGATCGAGCATCACGTCGTTCTTATCGTTCTGGAGAGCAAAGAACCCGGGAGGAAGAGCCGGATTTGGTGGCAGAGGGGGCCAGGAGGCATCTGACACTGTGGTCATGGATGCCTGGGATATTGATGGGGGTAATCCGGCAAACAGGGATGAGGCCGAATGTTGCGATTGGTGGCCAAGCGAACTGCCAGAGTTGGAGAGAGGCAGAGTATGATTCGAAGGGTGCTTGAGTATGGCTGGATGGGTCAAGATAGGATTGATGGCCGGGGAAACCGAGGCGCCCGCACTGTATTTATCAAAGTGGACCTTCAGTGGACGCCCATGGTACTCCTTCCTATAACACTTGTCAGGGAGTCGCGAGTGGTCACGAAAGGAACACGACAAACCCGTTAAACATCTCCACAGCGGCAAGCGCATCCGATTCATGCACGAAGAGCACAGTGCCGAAACCACGAGAACGCCCGTCTGGGCCTGTAGCGACGTCCGCACGAGCGATCTGGCCAGCACTGCGGAAATGGTCCTTCAAGTCTTGCCACTGTACATGGAAGGGTAGCTGGCTATGTGTCAGCACCTAGATGCGGCCTGTTTATGATGAACACTCACATTGCCAACGAATACGCTCCTTCCGAGCGTATTCTGAGCACCGTGGCCATTCATGTTGGCCATTGGAGGCGTTACGCGCAGTTCACCGTTGCCCGTGACGCTGTTCGGTAAGTCCTTGTGCGGGTACACAAACGGAGAGTTGGATTGGACACTGAGAGCGATCTCAGCACCAGGGCTGGCGCTCCTGTTTCTCACTCTGAAAGCATCTACGCCATCCAGGACGCTGGTGGTAGAACCTCTCCTCAAGCCGTGCAGGGATGACCTGCTGCTTCCAGGACGCTCGAGTCCATCAACGAACTGTACAGCGGATTGTGGACGAGCAGGGCTGCCGTCGATGTTCAGCCAAGGTCCATGAGCGATAGGTCCAGGTCCAGGTCCAGGGGGGGCAAGGTTGGTGGGAGGAACATAAGGCATCGCGTGCAGGGGAGAAGGACCAGCGGCGGGGTTCTGATGCTCCGGGTCGGGAGGTGGCAAACGGTCGGGACGAACTTCCAGAGTGCGCGTCTGCCACACATAGCCATTGAACATGTCTATGGACGTTTCAATATACACACCAGATCGGATGTCGTAGAGGTACGTACCAATTGCTCGACCGGCATCTTCAGCAGTCGCAAGGAGAACTGTCCCATAGCCCCTGCTCCTATTATCGGAGCCCAAGCTGACATCAGCTCGCAAGACAGTCCCAGCCTTGCGAAACAGATCCTTCAAATCCTGCCATCGTACTCTGTACGGCAGCTATATGCACATGTCAACATCAGGAGCAGGTATAGACGACAAGGACATACATTGCCAACGTAGAGCTGCGTCCTCGTGTCTCGACCGTTTGGGGAGCGCACCCCAGAACCTGATGCTGCAGCACGAGCCGTCGCCATCTGGATCACTGCGTCGATGTCGACGTCAAGAGCGTTCGCAGGGCCGGTATTGTTGTTCGATCCAGGCTACACAGCACAGATCGTGTTTAGTGATGACGATCGGGGCAATAGTCACGATAAAGAACTTACCGTCCCTGTGGGAGCAGGGCGAGTCGACCCTGGCTGTCCATTGCCCAGCGGCAGGGAGGGCGCTGGGCTTTGTGCCGTCGTGGCCATGGTCATATGTACTGGATGATCAATACGTGTTGATGAGCGTTGACTGCATGAAAGCGGTGTGGGGCGGTGCTTACCAGAACCAAGGGCATGCACGCTTGGGATACGGCGGGTTTGGAATGCCGCGAACGGATCAAACGGAGCGTCCCAGTTTCGACTGGATGCGAGGATCATGGTGTAAGTACAGACTGGAAAGATGGTTAGCTAGGAGTTGGCTGTACCTTTTTGGGGGTAGTTAGTCGCCTCGTGTATGCTGCGCCGTGGAAATGCGACCTGAGTGTTGTTGGTCAGGAGGCGGTGAAAGGCGCTAAGAAGGGCGGCACGGAAGGGTGATGGGTTGGCAGTAGTAGTGATGCTTCTAAGAGTAATTCTGATCGCTGCCCGCCCCGCAGACAATAATGAAAGAGGAGGTTGATGATGAGCAAGAGGGAAATGGTACGAGTTCGTGGTCGTTGATGGAAGGGCCGCGTCGACGAGAAAGCGTTGGACGTCGACAGTGCTGTAGCCCAAACTCGACTGTCCATCGACGTCAGCCCCGTCCATCAGCTCCCGAAATACATGGCGGCAACTTGGCATATTACACCGCATTCGTAACTTCTTTTCATGATAACCTCGGTCATTTCTCTTATCGCAATCAACCGGTATTATATACGACTAGTGAATTAAACAAAACGAAATATTCACTGAGAAAACTGAGGTGCAATTGTGATCAACAATTCATTCTAATATGCGCTATTAGGTTCCACCTCTACACCGGGAATAATCTAAGTTCATTCCACTAATTGTAAACAAATATTGCTAATAGTCTTAACTGCGCAGCTTTTGTTGCGGATAACGCACAAAAGCGACATGAAACTGCACTTACAAAAGGATATAAGCTGAAACACAGTGGACAATGACTGCGAAGGTACAGCCCGATCACCTCCCTTACTGTGGTCATCTGCACCTGTACGTGACTCTATCCAAACAAGCAACAGTCGCACAGTGCTTGGGTACCGGCAGGAAGACGTTGGATTGGGATGGCTCTGGAGAATATTTCACAACTTTCGAGTGCGAGTTCGTATCAGATACACTTATCAACTGGGTCAGAATGAAAGAATTCACAATATAGAGGCTCATACCTAGACCAACCCACAAACTCTGATGCCCAGTCAAGGGCGCTCGAGTCTTTAGTAGCTTCGGATATGACGCCTTTCCCCGTAATCGTAACGTGCTTATGGTTCATAGCAATCACTAGCCAACTGTGGTACCCAGCGCAGGAACCGACGAAGCTCGACTGATGAAACCCGCTTCTGAGTTCGCACGGTCCAGTCGTGGGCAAAGTTATCCCAGATCGAGTCTCCAGAAACGGTTCGAGTGCGGCGGTCGATATTGAATACCGGTCAAGTGGAGTGCGGATGGAGCGTGTTGGCTCAGCTGACCGTGTCCGACTATAAACCAGACTATCGGATCCCATGCATGCACCATGGGTGACCAACCCCTGGTAGGCACCCTGCGAACGGACCGGTGGTACTGCCCAATGCGTATCGGGAGAACGTGGGAGTGCGTGAATTGTTGATAAGACAAGAGAGCGTTCGCGCCGTGATGGAGATGACCGGCTTATTACCAGTCCGAGAAATATATCTGTGGTCCGGTTACCGACCGAGAATTGCAAAGCGAAAAAGCCACTGAATGAAGTTGGGAATCAAGCAATTCAAGTAACGAGCGCCAAAGAGTGAATCACACTCCGCATGATGACGAATCGATCACAAGGGATGAAATCAGTAAGGAAGACACATTATAGACCTTTTTTCTTCTTAGTCCAGTGCGACGAGATCGCAGGGGAAGGACCGTGAGAACAAGTTTTCCTAAACAGCACGGAACGGAAGAAGGAAAGCAAGGGGCGGATGTTGCGGAACTCTCGCTTCCTGGGCCTTTTGTTCTCACGACTATATATGTTTATATGTTGTAAAGAGGGCGACACATTAAGGACATCGGACCTTTCGGCCAAATTGCGAATACTCTGCCATATTGGGTGAGCTTTCCAGGCGCCCTTACTCCTCGGAATACATTTCTGTTGCTATTACTGCCCCATATCCGAAGCCGGTCTCCGCCCGTCCTCGCACCTACCTTTTGCCGACCGATTGGGCGTCTTGTTCCCACTGAAGGGTATGCGCAACCCCAGGGACACTCGTTTTACGTAGTCATCCCTGCGGGGCAACGGCCTTGAATGAGCGCTGGCGACCGCGGCCCGGCTACGTCGCTGGCAAGCGTGGTATAAAAATGACGAGCAGAGCGTTAGCCGCACAGACACAGTATGCCCGGTACGCAGACACCACCCTCCCCACGGCGAGCGTTTACGCCTGCAGAGCTCTTCCAAGGTGCGCTCGTGTTGCTTCACTATCATGGGCGATTACTCATGAAAATGCAGGTCTGCAAGAGCTCGATAAACGTCTCTACCGACAATTCGGCAACGTACCCAAGGTCAAGATCGTCGTCGCCGGTGGGTTCGTCGTATGCTCTCGATGGTGTACACGACCAACAACGCGAGGTTGCGACTACATCCGACCGAAAGCGCCTGCACCGCCCGACTTTAAGTGGACGATGTGGCAGATGAGTCTATGTATCGCCCATCAGTGGAACTGGACTACGGATTGGTTCAGCGACAAGTTTTCGATGTTCTTGCCTGAGGACGAGAACGAGGAGCCGAGCCAGAAGTTCTTGGACGAATGCATCCAGCAAGGAGCGATCGTATTCGATGGTCAAGTCCTGCAGGCATTCGCCGTCAAGTGGGAATGGGCACTGGCGAGCACGATCGACCGCGTATACGACGAGGAAGTCCGCGCACCATCACATTGTCTCCAGGACGGGGTATTCTTCCTGCGAGAGCTCATCCTCAGGAGATCCGGCAAACCGATCAAGTGGATCGAGTTCCGTAAACTGTGCTCTGCGTACTACGACATCCATCCTCTGCACCTTGCCGAGGCAGCGCGCTACCTGGCTATTGCGTACGAGAAACAATTTGGGACTGTGGCTATCCTCATCTCTTGATGGGTTGTACGCTGGAGAAGTTCCTGAGCGATATGTAGCGTTACCGACGTCTATGCCTAATGTGTAGTATAACACCGAAGCAACCTAATTCGATATGATCCAACTTTTCAAGAAGACTTGTATAGAGGATTTCCAATATTACAACGAACATTAATAAGGGAAAAGGTTTGGGCGCCTGCTCTATATTTGCATCCGACACGCAAAACAGACTGGACTGCCTCGAGTGCCTCAACATCGATTCGACGACCATCCTCAGGATACCTTTACTCTCTGATCTATCTGCTTTCTCTACTTATCTCTTATGACCGACGTTGCTATGAACACACCGTCCATGAACCGCGCTCAACGCCGGAGAAGCCGTGGATTACCATACGCGGTGAGCACATCATCAGGCACCGAGTCATATGGTAGCTGACACGTTTGTCGCCACAGCGTCCGACAGCACAACCCGCGGTCACTTCCTCGGGATCCACGCGTCTCTTGGTGTCGAGTTTGCATTACGAGGTCACTGAGCAGGAGTTGAACGTGCGTACATGCCCGAGTCGACGTGTCTGCGGCAAGTAACACGCAGTGCAGACGCTGTTCTCGTCTCTGGGCGCTTTGGCAAAACCGCCGCGCATCGTTGTACATACCTTCTCCTTTGGACATTGAGATACGACTTGCCGATACGCGTTCTCGCTCTCAATAGTTCGATCGCAGTGGGCGCTCCACTGGAATTGCACATATCACATACGAACGACATGAAGATGCTCTGCGCGCTAAGCAGAGATTTGATGGGCAGCCTGCGAAGGGTATGCCAGAATGACGTCTCCCCCAAATGTTCATGCTGAATCGCTTTGCAGGCCAGAACATATCCATCCGATTCGAAGCAGCGCTGAACCCACCTGCAGCGAGTGCAGGCGGCGCACAGGGGAAGTCCTTGCTTGCGAGGATCGGAGCAAATCCCAGTGCGAGTCTGCTGGATCGCCTTGGTGCACCTCCGACTGCACCTGCTAAGTGCGTCAAGACAAGCGAGCCTGTTCGTCAGCTAATGGATAGTAGGCGAGCGCCTGCTGCAGCGAAGGCAGTCCCGTCGGGCCCTGGTCCTACTCGTGTTCCTCGCGGTAACCGTCCTGCTCGTGCGAGGAGGGCAAAGCCCAAGACACAGACTGACCTGGACAAGGAGTTGGATGTCTATTTGGCTACCGATAGTAAGCCACAGAGTGCGGAGAAGGCGGCTAAGGTGCGTTCTTTCTAGAAGCGTGCACATACTCTCATCGCCAGTTTAGGGAGATGATGTGGAAATGACGGTTTGATATTAGTATGCTATCAGCGATCTGTATTCTCTACAATCCCTATCTTGGTCAATATGCGATCCGCATAGGTATGGACATGACGCTGACCACTCTGTGGGCCGGCAAGCGGCTGTGAAATCAGATCATCATTACAATGCGCCACGCCAACTTCCTACCTCCGTATGGAATGATATGGAGAACGCAGGGACAGTACGGAATCAGGACGTCAGGACGGTGTAGAAGGAGAGGAACTTCAGCAGGGAAGCACGCTGCTTGCCCTGCGGTAGTTCGCTCACGACCTTGTCCAGGTCGGCTTTTCCAAAGTCGTGGGCCGCAATGTTGCCGGCTTCGCAAGCGTTGTACGCAACGGTGCCTTGGAGCGCGTAGATTTCCCCGATGTCAGCAAGGGTGAGGTGGCGGAAGTGGGCAAGGTAGAAGGGTTCCTGGACGAGTTGGTTGATCGGGTAGTCGTTGGCGAAAGTGTACCAGTCGACGGTGCGGCGATTAGCCGGAGGAAGTGGTTCATTCGGATAGTGGACAGCCTTGATCAGAGCGAGGCGGGGAAGGTCGTGCACACGGCGAAGCGCGAGCTCACGGACGCGCTCTTCATGCTGGGGCAAGATAAGCACGGCAACAACAGGGGTGAGAGGAAAGAGACCACGCACAGGCTTCAGCATGGTGATCTGGTAGCCCAAGGAGTCGTTGAGGCGAGCCTGTTAAACCCACTGGGCGCGCATGTCACCGTTGCTAGCCGTGAGCTTGGCAACCTCCGCCGCGAAGGCAGTGTGCTTCTCCCCGAGGTCGGAGTGCTTGGCCTCCAGCGCAGAATAAGAGTGAGCAGAGGCCTGCAGCGTCTGGAGCTCCTCTCGTGACTCGAGAAAGGCTTCCTGCAGCTTGCTGAAGCGCAGTTCAAGTGGGGCATCCGACGGGGGGAGTTCAACCTTGAACTTCTTGATCCGGTTTTTGAGAGCCTGCGACCTGGCCATATGGTCGGCTGCGCGCAGAGTGAGACTGGAAAATGGAGACAAAACGTAGAAAAAATTGCTAACCGGCATAGTGCTCCAGCAACAGTTCTTGGCCCTTGACCTTCTGCATGAGCTCTGTGCGGTCTGCCTTCACCTCCGCGAGCTGGTGGAAAACTGCAAGAGAGGAGCAGAAAGGGGCCAAACACAGTCACGCGCAAGACAGACAGCAAGTAGCAGACCCAGTGGGAGGCTGTGCAAATCAATTGATATTTCTCCAGTACATCCGAATTTCTGGACACGGATTTCGGATGGAAAATCCGTAATCCGTAATCCGTAATCCGGCCTCGGCTGTGCAAGGGTCTGGCCGGATCCTCGGCACAACTCTTCTAAATTTATGTTAGTTTCTTTATTTAGTTAATTCCTTTATGTAAAATTACTAAATAATAATAATAATTTCAACATCCACACAACACATCACTGATATTCTCATACTGCATCAACACCATCCACTGTCACCATCCTCTACTGCTCTTATGGAAATTTCTCAGCTTCTCTCTCAGCTCCTGGAGGTTCAACAAGTGCTTACTGGTGTCTCTGTGGATCAAATGTTCTTATTCTTGGCTTTGGCTTGACATCTTCAGACAAGAATTGCCTGGCAGGAAGTCCATACACTCACCCAACCAGCAACTCCTCCTCTTACTCTTCCCAACACTGTGGTGTCTTTCCTGAGTCAGGTGCTTGACTTGCAGGATGCTCAAGTCATGGCACTTTGGCAATCTCTCAACCAAGTCCTTTGGAATCCTGCCAGAGACATCATAGCCCTCACTCAACCATTGTTGGATGATTTCACACCCTTTCAGGCCTATGCACACCTGACTGAACTCAGTAAGTACTTTCCCAATCAGTCTCCACAGGAATAGACTGACATCAATTTCATGGTACTGAGGAATTCTATCCCCCTACACACACCTGCCTCAATCTCCACTGTCCCCACTTTGTTCACACCTCTGAGGCAGCAGCACTGTATGATCCACAGCAATATACAGCTGCTCTCTACACCCTCAGCCATGGTGCCTTCCCTGTTATAGTCAATTCCCTCAAATGTCACCATTGTAACACCAGATATCACCTCAATTACTCACACCAAGAAACTCCTGGTAGAGGAAAGTGTGAAATTTACTATGGAGGGATGCCACCTGTGCTCCAATCTGAGAAGTATCTCCTGTTTGAGGAGGGACTTTGTGGCCTCTTCCACTCATATACTGTTCTATCACAGTGAGTACATTTCCAGAAAACATTCTCAGACTAATTCCATCACAGTGCTTCAGCAGGAACCACAGCAAGAGTATTTCATGATTCATTGGGAAGGAACCAGACTCACAACACTGGGAGCTATGCAGTTCCTCACCTGCATAGTGAATACCTCTCTGATCTCTTTGACCTCTACTCACTCCTCCTCCACCATTCTGAGCAAGGCACCCAGCTCACTCTCCCTGACATGGCCAGCAGCCAGAGTGATTGACTCACTGCTGCCATGATAGAGAGAAACATCTTCATGGCAGCAAATGGGCAAGAGCACTGGTCATACTCTTGCAACCTTTGCAGAAAGTTCTTTGACCATGATGGAGAGCAATGTGAGTTTACTCTTTGATGAGGGGATCTCAACACTTACAGAAGTATCCAGACATGCTATCTTGTGCTGTCACTGATGGAGTTTCAATTGGGCACCCTTGCTGTGGAGTCCACAACTGTGCCATCCCCCTCTCTTCCAACTGTGCATGGTATTGCCCACTTCACACAGGCAGGGAGGCAAGCTGTGCAGTGGAAGGCTGTAATGAGGGAGCAGAGCCTGGTAGGAAGACCTGCTCCAATCCTGAACATCATTTGCTGGAAGAAAATTACTATGCTGCTGGCCAGTTTGCACTTCAGCTGTGAGATTGACACCAATGTGCCAAGTCTTATTATTGAGAGGGGGACCCTGTTAGGGCAACACAGGCTGACTAAGTCTGCTCACCTGGGAGTGCCAAGAGTCTAAGCAGGCAACAAGGAAGTGGAGTAGACCTGATGACTAAGACCTATCCACAGTATAGGTACCTGTGGGTGATCCTAAGAGACCAAGTCTGAAGAGACAATCCCCAGGCAGAGTAGGCCTTATATTTATACCTCTGTGGTGGAACCTGCTAGAACATCTTGCTTACTCAGCCTAGTCAGGTGATCAGGTCATATGACCAAGGATGAGGTCATATGAGGTCATGCACAGCCATGCACAGCAGGTCACCTGACCATCCAATCCTTCCAGCAGGTTCCAGCACATGCCAAGGTATACCAGCTACTTCCATGTCATAAAGGCTTAGTCATGTCTCTTGACCAAGCAATGAGCTGGTGCCCTGACATCACCCCCCCTTCTAGACATGCTGTCCCAGCATGTTGATACTCCTTCTTCTGCTTTTCCCTTCTTCTTTCCAGATGTCCAATCAAAGAGAACCCTTTTAGGTGGTATAGTATAGTTAATGAGTGGTTGGAAGTGAAGCCTGTCAAAGGTGA